ATTCAACAAATGGGGGGATACTCCTTCATCTGCATATGAGTTGGTTAAATTAACGAAGAACAATAAGTCTGCGAGCAAGTCTCTCGGTTTCAGGTGGCGCAAGCGTTTTAATGACTGCTAATACATGATCACAGTCAGAAAGGGCGAGGGAAAAGGGGCAAATTGTTATGAAGTTTGTGACGTCAGTTGCAAAAGGTTTGCGAGATGTCCGACAAGTTTAATTTCTGCATCTGGTGTAATGCATTCAATTCTGACAAAACAATTTAATTAAAATAATATTTTATTTTATTCATCAGGATATATGCGTATTTACAATAAATAATTGTAGTTACTATTTGTATTACATGTATTTACCCTGGTCCGTCTGATTATAAATGCTAGCCTGTGTTCAGTAGATTTACCGCATAGAATAATTGTCAGTTGATAGAATATGTTTTATTATTATTGATAATCATATTGTTTTAAGTTTACAAATGGAAACTATAAATCAACAATTGAATTAACTTTATAACACTGTCTGTTAAGTGGCGGGATTATTGTGATGTCTCGAACGTCATTTTGTTCAGTCATCAGCGTGCGCCGGATTGTGTACCCCTTGTGAATTATAACTGTCACAGAATTGTTATTTGTAGACATATTATATAGATTTTTTCACTGTAAATTAAGAAGATATTTCCATATCTGTCTCTTGTAAAATCGCAAATTTAAAGATGTGAACAGTAGAGCCACAGTCCACAAACTTTTTAAACAGCCCTCGTAATTGTGTTTTTTTATTTAATTTTTAAATTGTAATGCATTTGTCAGTTTTACATTTACATTTCACTTCATTTGACAAAATATGTGATTTGTTTATCTTAGTGAGGAGCAGAATTGCATTGATTTGTACTATATAATTATGTCCCTCCCAGTACAGTATATAAAAATGTTATTTGTTGAGCTGATAACTGGTGGCTTACTTCAAAGCAAAACGTCTGAAGTGAAAACTAAGTGTTTGATTGATGAGAGAATTGATTGACCCTCTCTTATCTCCGCCTTAGAGTACTTTCTGGTTATCTGGTTGAGAGCTAATTGACATTTTGTGAATTCTAAGTAACTTATGAAGAATGGATAGACATCTTTGCCTTGCATCTAAATGATGAATTTGTAGAGCTTCTGGAACTTCTTAGCCTAAAATCTAGATTAAAATCTGGGCAAATTCAAATGAATCTGAATAAATTCTTGTGTTATTAGAATTTATATGATTTTTTTTTGTATATTGCTTTTATCTCCTGTTTTCATTGAATACATTAGGAGATTTTTGGACAGTTTGAACAAATTGTATCAAAGGTTTGCATTTGAACATATCTTTAGTTAACATTTTAAGATATATTGCTGTAAAAAAGAGAAGTTTCTCTCTGTTTATCAACCAGATAAAAGCAATTCAAACCATTTTGTTGCATACTAGGATTTTTTACTATTTACAACAGCACTAGAAAAATCCTGGAACAACCCCCATGCACCCACCCCATGTACCATAAGTCACATGCATTTAAAAAATATGTCATTTGTGAAGGAAGTTGTTAATTCATATTCATTTAAAAGAAAAAGTACCAACAATCAAAATATCAGTTTTCATTATTTCTTTCTGAAATATGTGTTTATAATATTGAATAAAAGCTCAAATACTGACTGCTCTTGAGTAACTGTTTAGTGCAGCAAGTGTAAGATCCTTGCAGTCTTTAACTAGAGGAAAGTAGAAAAAGAACCTTTGTTGATGAAAATATTATTTTCTATGAAGTAACCTCTAGTGTATAGAACTAAAGATAAGTCAGTCGCTGCTTCATACCCAGATGTAAATAATATTATGTGTTTTTAATAATAATTTATCTAAAATGAGGGCATCTGGTACCAACCTTATCAATTAAAGTGTAGAAATTACTGTGAGACCTTCAACATTAGTGTCACACACTCTCAATAAAAATGAATAAAAACTTTTATGAAAACTTAAAATGTTACTAGTATGTCTGATCTACATTGAAACACATTTGAAGAATTCCTGGTTAGAAATGGATTTTATTTATTTTCAGGCATGGTTTCAAGAGCTTCGAAAATTGACACCCAACACAAAAGCCAACAATATATGTCCAATGTCATCACTGAAAAAACAGTAAGTGTCATTGACTGACTTGATTCAAATGGTGTGACAATGACCTCAGTTGTTAAGTCTTAAACTGCTGAATTTGTCCAATAGATTTGCCCTGCTTTGATTTTGAAACAGTCTACTCAACTTTTAAGAGATTTTAAAAACAAAGTTCAAAAATTGAGCTGCCATTGTTATAGAGCATGGTCACACAGATGTGCTGGTTGGCCTATCTCTGTACAGGTGGCAAAGACTATTCACATCCAGTTCTAACAGGGTAAGGATTAACTCCTTGAACAAAGTGTCAACATATTTGGTGCAGTTTGAACCTGCTTTGAAAAATTTGCTTTGAAATCCCATAAATAAACAGTGCTCACAGTGCCTGTGTGGTCATCAAATCACTTCCCCTCACTGCTGTGGGTTCCATATCTGCCACAGACTGTGGATTCTGTTATTAATTAAATGATATTGCTCCCCCAATGTCTGCCCTTGAACAGGTTAGATGCTCAATTGATTAAAATCAATTAAACTAGTAACAGACACTTTGTAAATATCTACTTGTAAGATATAGCTAGGCAATGGTTAAATGATATTATATTGTAAGTGAGTGTGTTACAGTGATGCTGTAGTATAAATGGTTTTGAGTGACCATTATATGAAGAATCAATACATACACCATGTAAGTGACAAATGTGAATTGCATAACGTTACCCATTAATACTTGTCATACAAATTATTGATATTTATTGCCAGGGATCAAAACATTCCCACTGTAGAATATGACAGCATTAAAAAGATATCAACAAAATTAGTATAATATTTAATTATAAATAGTAAAGAATGTTCTCCCTGGTTTGAAACTCTTCTTGAATATTGATTTGTAAAGATATTAAAGATACTACATTGTTATATCGTATTGCATTATACTTTGACGTCCATAGCTTTTCTAAGAAATTTGAAAAAAATGTTATTAATTTATCGTGTACTTTTCTTTTTCTTTCTTGGGAATCAGCATTTAAATCAAAAGCTTATGTTTTCACATTTCTTGACTTGTCATTTGTTTCCCAAGGTTGCATTGAAGAATGATTCCTGTTGCACTGAGACTTATAAATCTATTTTTAGCAAAGTTATTTTATGTTTAGGCCTTTGTCCAGTATAAATGTGGAAAAGTCAATACATTACTTGCTGTATTTCTGTAAAACAAAACAAACAAAATCCTCACTGCTGTAGGTTCAAATCAGGTCAGGGACTTGGGATTCTTTTTCATTTGAGGAAGCTATCCAGCAAGCTTTAGAAAGGTTGGTGGTTCTATGCAGGTGCAGCATTTTTGCTTGAAATCATGTAAGAGGGAGGGAGGGCCTTATAAGATCTTCGGTTGAAAGGAATGGTGGCACTATGACTTAAACTTGTATCACAACAATCTTTTGAGTAAAAAGCATTCAATATTTAACACTATAAAGTATTGGAATCATGGTTTTGAAGAACCAGAAAAATATAACACCCGCACTGAGATGAAGTATTGGCAATATTTTACAGCTGCCACACAGCACGCAACACCTGCTGCTTTAAATTATCACCATCTTGGCTCTAAATACAGTTAGATTTATAAGTAAAAACCATAATATGCAAACATTATATATAGTCATATGAAGTTATTTAAAACAGACTTTGAAAGTAAAAGAAAACTTAACCTACTTTTATAATAGAGTCAGATCTACATGTATATAATAGAACAGTCAATATAAATGTGTAGTTGATAAGATGTAAATTTAATTAGCATTGCATGAGTGAAACCTTAATCAGTCATTAAGTTTCCTTTTACAGCAACTGAGCTCAATTATCCAATATATAGGCAATTTAAGCAACAAATTTATCTTTATTTTCCAAGTATAGTCAAATCTGTTCTATTTTTGTACTGTCTGAAGAAAAGGATTTCCGTTTGAAGAATGTATTCAGTCTGACATTGAATATTTGAATACTTACTCAGCATTGTTTATTAAAACAAATATGCTGTTCATTAATGAATAGCATTTCGTTCCAGATCATATGCCAAATTTCCAAACACATAAATCTGTAATAAAAGGTTTTTTTAGCTCCACTTTCAGATGTCCACAATTTCTTTAAGCAACATCTTCCCAAAAACACTTTTATAGATTTTGACCAACCAAGACATTATATATGGTTCCATTCTAAATACTTTTTAAGTATAAAAAAGGTATAGGGGCTTTCAAGATCATAAAAAAAATGTTGTATAGTATATATCTGTTGTTTATTTCAGTTGGATGAAGCTGTGTTTTATGGTGAATCCAAGTGGGAAAATACCAGTTCGAAGGTAAGAAAAATAAGTACAGGTTAGATCTTTTTACTATGACCAGAAATCTCATAGAAGTAGAAAAAAGAACAGGTAAAGTAAAAAGCCCACACCCTTCCAATCTGTCCTCACATAAAGCTATTTTAAATAATGATTGCTTTTGAGATGAATATAAATAATGTTGGTCAGTTGGTCCACTTCATGGTTTCCAGATGATAACTTAAGATTGGAATGAGTTATTGTAATCAAACTTGGTATATAGCAACCTTAGATGGAAACCCCAGTTGAGATTGCTTGGGATTGGGATTGCTTTTGGACCCCTTGGGTACAAAATCAAAGTCACTGTTACTAAAAATAGAAAAAGGTTTCCAGACAATAACTAGAGTTGGGAATGAGATATTGTAATCAAACTTGGTGTATAGCAACCTTATATGTGGCTCTGGTTTGGATTGCTTTTGGACTTGTTATGTCAAGGTCACTGTTTTAAGAAATAGAAAAATGGTTTCTGGACAATAATAAGAGCCAGAAAAGAGATATTGTAATCAAATTTGGTATATCATAAGCTTTATGAAGACCCCGGTTGGGATTGCTTTTTGACCCCCTGTGGTCAAGGTCATGGTCAATATCACTGTTACTAAAAATAGAAAAATGGTTTCTGGACAATATTTGAGTTAGGAATGAGATATTGCAATGGTAATGGGTATATAGTAAAGATAATTATATGAACCAGATTGGGATTACTCTTTGAAACCACAGGGTTCAAAGTCAGTGTTACTTAATTTAGTAAAATGGTTTCCGGACAATAACTAGAGTTAGGAATGGGATATTGTAATCAAACTTGGTATATAACAAGCCTTTTTCAGGAATCTGGTTCTGATTGCTTTTGGTTTTGGAACCCCCCTGGGGTCAAGGTCACTGTTACTAAAAATAGAAAAATGGTTTCCAGGAGATTTCTAGAGTTAGAAATGAGATATTGTAATCAAACTTGGTATATAGCAAGCCTTTATAAAAACCCCGATAGTGATTGCTTTTGAACCCCCTGGGATCAAGGTCAAGGTCATTGTTACTGAATAGAAAAATGGTTTAAGGTTGACAATGAGACATTGTAATCAAACTTGGTACATAGCAAGCTTATATAGCAAGCTTTTATAAAGACCCTGGTAGGGATTGCTTTTGGACACCCTGTTCATATAGCAAGCCTATGTAAAGATCTTGCTTAGGATTGCCATAAGTTGTCCATGGCATCGAGGTCAAGGTCCCTGTTATGATTTGCGATAGGTTTAATTGAACAGAAAAAAAGAGCAAAAAATCTTGACATATATGATGAAAATTATAGAGCATTTTGGTTAATTTAGCTCTGTTTAAGATCATCTGTTTCAATGAAAGGTTGAGCTATTATGATAGCTGAAGTGACATCATCATTGTCATTGTTGTCCTGCAGAAACAATTTAAATGGTATAAATATGTCACTGGGAATATTTGCTTATCCTCACATTTAAGAGGCAGTGGAAAGAAAAGGGCATTATTCTGAAAGCTGTATTTTTTAGAACTGCCACTTTTTAACTTAGATTTTTTGTCAAATTTTTAACATATTAAACAGAATGATTTCCAAACTGTAAAACGTATGTGGAACATGAAACTTGGAATACTTGTTGATCATGACAAGGCACACCTGTTAGACAAGGGGAATTATTCTAGAAGAATTATTATTTGGAGTTTTGCCCCTTCACACCCAAAGTGGTGCTCCTGTTTTTTGGTTTGTTTTTTTTTTCTTCAAAATATATAGATTGTGGTATGAATAGGCTAAAGTGATTTTGATCCATAATAGACTTAGGTCTGTAATACTATTATTATGTTGATATTATTAAGTATCATAAGAATTATTTATAGTTATTGTTTGTTAGTGTGAGATACATGATCTGATATTTATATATAGCAGATAATGAAATATTATTCATCTTATAAATATTCATACTAAATCCATAATAAATAGTAAATACAACTGTAAGAAAAGTGTTTGATGAATTTATAAGATTTACATATTACACTTAACATGTTGCTGCACCCTTAATATGAATAGAATATCAGATAATATCAGCATGGCTGTCACAATGAAGTTTTTTGTACAAAGCTTTACACACAAAAAAGATATTTTTAATAATGTGTCAACATGTAAATAATGAAAAATGTTTTAAAAAATCGCAGAACTAATATTCCGTATGACTACTTTGATGGGAAAATAAGGCATAGACCTAAATGTTGATTGCTTCATTTCAAATTAGTTCAGCAGGAATTCAGTTGAGGAAAGGTTAAGATTGAACTATGCTGATTAATTTGTCTTATACTAGAAGATATATTTTGACAATACTGTACAAAATTTGTGAACATTCTGCCTGGAAAATCAGATTTGCATCGATTTTTTCATGGTAATTAGCCAAGTGGGAAGGCTGAATTTAATTATGCAACTGATGTTGAGCAATGTTTTTTTCTGCATCAAATAGAAATGTAATTAAAATTGAGAGCTTGTTTGTTTATTTGACAGAGACAATTTTCTTTAAGGGAAACTTGCTCTTGGCTAGGGAAGAGTAGACTAGAAAGAAAAAAAAGAAAATATTAACATTGGTTTTCAATGAAAAAGAAAATTCTTATTGATTATTGTGTGTTGGGGAATGGATTAGGTTAGTTAAAGTATTTTTATATGCTCAGAGAAGTTTGATAGCAATGTGTAAATTACTTTCTTTGTTCACCTCACAATATTTTACCTTTAAATACTATTTCATAATTTTCATGAAAACTAGCATGAATCTAGAGGCATGCTGCTTATTATACAAGTTAATTCTAATGAAGCCAATTAAAATGTTTGACTGATAAAGTATACTTGTAATTTCCACTTTTACACAAAAGTAAACCTAAAATAATTAATAACAAACATGGATTGCAGAAAACACATGGTCAGTAAAAAACGTCTATTTACAAACATACTGTTATGTTTAAAAATGACTGTATTAAACCGAATCCTCTGAAAACTGTTTTTTTGGAGTCTAATGTATAATGAAATAATATTTCAGAGAGAGGCTTTAAAATTAAAAAACAAAGTGGCATTTAGAAAATAATTATTGAAGGTTATAACAGACAAACAAAGATTCCAATTGTTTAGGGCTTTCATTTCTGTTACTAGTATTTGAATTGTTTAAAAGTCATATGTGGCTTTAATTAATATTGATATGAGAGGAAAATTAATAGTTTTGTTCTGTTTTCAAATCAGCAAGAGTTGTGCAATTTAAATTGTTGAAAAAGATTTTTGTCCTAGCATCAAATCATGCAAGTTTTTGCTTTAATTATCATCTCTTGAAAATGTTTTGTGTCATTTATCAAATTTGGAAGAATTGTATTGATATGGTTTGTTGGGGAAGTGTTACTTTACTGTAGCATGTTTCATAGGGAATAACATCTGAGAGGAGCATGTAGAGGTATTCCTGATATGATTAATTCAAGACTTGCTGTGCATATATTATTCTGTGCTATATCAAATTAATTTCTTTGGGAGTTGAAAACAGGGGGAAAGCACAAAGAAGATCATAGGAACTTGTGTTAAAACGGTGCTTATGTTGTCAACAGCCGTTGACTATTTCTTCCTTGTTATAAATCTAGCTAAGATTGTTGCAGTTTGATGCATTAACTTTCTTTTATCAAAATATACTAAGGCTTATAAGGCTAGTTCATAGACAAAACAATTTCAATGAGACCTTTCAAATATTTGGTGTATTTAATGCTTCATGTTTTAGTGGTTTAGGTCGCTGACTTCAAACCACTTGCCCATGAAAACTATAGGTTCAAATCCCGCCGGGAACTTTTGGATTCTGTCAAGCTAGTCAATGGAAGGTCTGTTCTTCATCAGGTGTCTGCTTGTGCCTTAAATAATGCATGATAAGGCACCTGAGGTTTTCCTTACTGAACAGTCACTAGTTCATCTTTACAATGTCAGTGTTACTTGAAATCCATCAAAGCAAATAAAACAAATTAAACCACAAATAATCTGGCCTTTCTTACGAAATGTGGTTATAATCTTTGAATAATCTGCGCATGCTTTGAGAATATTGTCATTGATTACACATTCATTTATGCACATTTCACCATGAAATAGCATAGGATTTCTTCAAGATTGTGTTGTTTTCAGACAGCTTTTATACACTGTGAATAAATGCATAAATCTTAAGCTTAACACATTTCTTATTGATATGGTATTCAGTACATTTAAACATTCTTGAAAAATTGAAATGTGGGAATACTGGCAATACACTAGGTGACTTTAACTGGAGTGTCAGTATCATTGAAAATTGTTCAACATAGCTATGATATATCTAATTCTTTCAGTTTCATATTTTAGCTCACTGGCATTTAAAAAAAAAAAAGATGACCCTTTTTCATAGGTTTAAGCTCTTGAGCATTTGTGATGGCAGTGTGTCTGATGTCTCTCATAAGAAGTCCCTCGTTATCCACAATTTCTTTAAACATTGGAATATCTACAAAAGTGACATAAATCATGCAATCAGCTCTGGTCAAAGTTGGTCCTGCCCCAGGGGACACTTGCTTTCTATAGACTTGTATAGTAAAAATACTTCAAAGACTTCTCCAGATAAACTACAATGTTTAGAACTGATATATTTGGCATGAAACATTATGTTGTAGTTCTCTACAAAAGTTATACAAATCATGCTGGGTCTCTTGAATGATAGTTCAATGCCAAGAGCTTAGGTATTTTGTTATCATGCATTTAGTAGCAAAATGACAAATGTATAAAAAAAACATGCGGAATGGGGAAAAAAATGACATACCATAATTATGTAACCTCATTAGTGACTTTAATATTGAAAAATATTAAAGTCATAACCTTCTCTAGCAATATATCTCAGGTAAGCTATTCAGGATCATCATGGCCCTCTTCATAGGTTATAATGATAACACAGTTGTTTCAGCCTTGTCAAGGTTATGGGTCACATGGCTCTTCAGTTATTGAGCAGAAACAGGTCTCACTTTCAAGGTCACTTTGATCGAACCTGATTCCCTATTCAGTTAGTAAATGTTTAGAATTTTCCTCTAAAAATGATGAATAGTTTTGTTCATATTGAAAGATGGGTGAAAGATGAAGTCTGTTTAAGATATATAGCATGGTAAAGGATAAATTCCTGATCAATTGTCATGCCGTCTTATCACTGTATGTAAATGATGCAGACTATACATAAGAGTAACTTCAATAGGCATAACTGTCTTAACATTCTTCCAATGATATTTTGATGTGAACTCTGACAGAGTGTTTGTGTGTGTGTCAGATTTATGTCTGGAATTACCTTTTTATATTCAAATTAATAAATAGAGAAAGGAAACATTGCTGGTTGATTTAGCTAACATCATTAATTTACATGATAAGTTACACAAAGAAAGCAGATTTCAGGTTGAGGTATATCACCATGTCATAGCCCTGGTTAGTATGTCTGATTATGTCCAGATTTGAGATATGTTTTAAGTGATTAATCTGTGATTTCTATTAAATACCTCCAGAGTTGCACTTCTTGGGCACATGTGGATTTATGTTGCCATCTTTGAAAAGAACTTTGCAGGTCTATCCCAACAGTGTTGTAAATCAAGGATTAAGTCAGTGCTTGACTCATAGATTGCATGAATGTTAATTTCGTAAGTTTTTACAGTAATTCAGTAAGAGGGCAAGTAAAACTTGAAAATAATTCCTCAGAAAATTGTTCAGGTTTTCCCCAGAGGTATTTACAGACTTCAATACATTAAAATCATGAGAACTAGAAGACAAAGGCAAGACACATATTGTTAACCATATCTTGGTCCTCTTAACTTAAAGCATTGTTGTAATGCAGGGGTCAGCATTGTTGTAATGCAGGGGATCTATGGTTTGATCCATAGGCAAAGCTTAATTTCTCAATGCTCCCCGAATGGTGAGCATATAGTTGCCGTTTTGTCTGTCTGTCTGTCCGTCCATCTGTCTGCTCTCATGGGACAGTAATAATGTGGCTAGAGGGACAATGGGTAACTGTTCTTTCTGTTTGATGTCATTCATTCCGTAATTTGCTTTTATGTGGCTATTTTCTTTTGTGTGGCTAAAAAGAACAATAGAGAGAAAAATAGAGTAGCCACTTTATTACTGTCCCGTTGGAACGTCTGTCCGTCCGCTATTCTTGTCCGGGACATGACTTTGAAACAACAAGAGATATCAACATGAAACTTTGTACGTAGATAGATGTCATTGAGTAGAAGTGCAGTGCAAGAGAACCATAACTCTGTCTTGGCTTATTTTGAAATTATTTCCCTTTGTTCATTTTTACACTTTGAACTTTGTCCGGGACATAACTGTAAAACTATAAGAGATATCAACATGAAACATTGTAGGTTGATAGATCTCATTGAGTATAAGGGCAGTGTAAAAGAACCATAACTCTGTTTTACCTTATTTTTGAGTTATTGCCCTTTGTTCATTTTACACTTTGAACTTTGTCCGGGACATAACTCTGAAACCCTAAGAGATATAAACATGAAACTTTGTAGGTAGATAGATCTCATTGAGTAGAAGTGCAGTGCAAGAGAACCATAACTCTGTCTTGGCTTATTTTGAAATTATTTCCCTTTGTTCATTTTTACACTTTGAACTTTGTCCGGGACATAACTGTAAAACTATAAGAGATATAAACATGAAACTTTATAGGTAGATAGATCTCATTGGGTAGAAGTGCAGTGCAAAAGAATCATAACTCTGCCTTGCTGAATTTAGGTTATAGTAATTGCCCTTTGTTCATTTTTACGCTTTGAACTTTGTCTGTCACATAACTCTGACACTACAAGAGGTATACTTACCTGTGTCCAAAACCAATTCGGGGTGCATCACCCGGTTCAACCGGTTCTTGTCTTTTACATTTGCTGATTTGACTAGTATTTGGTCAATTGGGGAAAAATTGGTAATTTCTGGTCATTTATCCAGTAAAGCTTGTTATGTACACTGACAGCCAAGATCTGACCAAACATGTGTTAAAATGTGCATAAAAACCAGATGAACAAACATGAAAAGAAAGAACCAAAAAATCAAACTTAATCATTTGAAATGACTTTTAAGAAAGACTTACATACTAAACTGATGGCCATGTTAAACAGAAGACTATCAAAGAAATGTTCATTCAATTTATCTTATTAAATGATGCATAAACCAAGATAAGACTCTGACATATCTGTGTGTCTAGTACAAATTTATAGTTGGTTGTGAGTATATAAAATAATCCATGATTAATATGTACAAATGGGAGATAGTTTGTTAGGGTAGCGGGGATTAGAGATGTCACATGGTAATCATAGTGATTGTAGTTTATTAACATATGTCTCACACTGGGGGATACTACAGACATTGTTATATTGATGGGTGTGAGATGGAGGAACTTTATATAGCAGTAGATGACAGATATATAGATTTTATACTCCCACTATATGTGTTATAGAATTAACAGACTACTGATTCTATTATGATCACACTATATATATGTGCACGAAAAATCTTATAAAGATAATGTGATAAAATAAATAGACAAGCTAATGATTTTATGTTTTCCAAGAAAAAGTTACAATTCAGAAAAGAATATTGAGTTAATTATATTCATGCTTTGTAAATTTTAGATAAAAGAATTCACTTAGTAACTACACAGATTTGTAATTTTATGATTATATAAATGTTCATAGAACTTGATTATTTTTTCAAGAAGTATTTTATTGACAAATTTCTTTTGTTTTTATCAATATTTGAAATACTTATTTGAAAATGTGCTTATTTTTAACCTTTAAAGAAAACTTTGTGTTTTATTGCAGTATTACTCGAACATTTGCATCAGGCAGAACAGAAAAGATGATTATGCAGTCATTGAAAGATTTAGGGCTTCCAGGGGGAAAGGTTAGAATTACAAACATTGTATTACTTCTTAGTAAAGATGTCTGTGTCTGACAACAAGAAAAAAAAATCTCTTTTAAGGATGTGAAAATATTTCGACAAAACATGATTGTGTCTTGTATGAATTATACATGTCAGCTTATGAAATAAAGGAGAGAGAAACAAAATCGTATAAGAACATCCAAAAACACAATATTAGAAATGTTTGACTGAGTGTTGAGAATTATGAAAATGGTGAAATTCTAGATTTAGAACATCTGCAGGTGATGTGTTCATACTTATGAAACACACCTAGTGTTCATTATGATAAATATAGAATAACATGCTACTGTCTTGTGATATCAATTTTATCAGGCGAGGCTGATATGGACTATAAAGGGCGAGGATTGCCAAGCCCCTTCTGCCCATACCAGCCGAGCCTGATAAAATTGATATCAAAAGACAGTAGCATGTGTTTCTATTTATCATGTAACACATAAAACTGTCAAAATTACAAAATAATCTACTTTTAAATAGCGAATTTCATAGAAAACGGCATTTTTGTGTCGCCTCTACGGAGTAGTGGCGACATATAGGGATCACTTCTCTGTCGTCTGTCTGTCCGTCCGTCACAAAACTTGTCCGGACTACTCCTCATAAACTACAGGTGCAATTTCATCCAAACTTTACAGGAATGATCAGTACCAAGTCTAGTTGTGCATATTGTCAGCATTTTCCGGTTCAATGATTTTTGTAAGAGTTATGGCCCTTTAATAATTTTTATTTTTAGAGTTTGTTCGGACTACTTCTCTTATACCACTAATGCAATTTTAATGAAACTTTACAGGATTGATCTGTAGCTCAAGTCCTTGCGCATATTGCATGGGTTTTCCAGTTGAATGTTTTTTGGCCGAGTTATGGCCCTTTGATAAAAAAGTGTTTTTTTTCTGTGTGTTGCCAGATACACAATATAAGAATCTTACACCGGCTGCCGGTACAGACCGGAATATCTAGCTCGAGGGTGACTGTTTACAGCAGTAACGAGGCTGTGCCGAGTTTCCGCTAAACAGTTACCCGAGAGCTAGATATTCCCATCTGTACCGACAGCCGGTGTCAATTGTTTTCGGAACAAAAATTGTGAAAACTGATATTCTCATTACACACTTTTTTCTTATAGTAGCGTATGAACATACAACTTCATTCGTAACGGAAAAATGACGTCATCTTAAGAACGCGATTCATTCATAAAAGGCGGGCGTCAGTGACGTCATTTAAAGCACACACTTGTCTTACATGGGGGGTGCAAGACAGAGTTTTCTGGCACCGGTGTAAACGGTAGATTATCCTGTCTGAGATGCAAGAAAAGCTTGTCCGCACTACTCCTCATAAACTACTGGTGCAATTTTATCCAAACTTTACAGGAATGATCAGTACCAAGTCTAGTTTTGCACTGTCCGTCTGTCACAAAACTTGTCCCAACATGAAATTGGCCATCATTAGGCGACACATGTGATCACTGATCGCTCTTGTTTCTTTCGACACGAGATTATTTCCTGTGATAAAGGATACAACAGAATGTAATACGATAAATTCTTAAAGTAAAAATTCACAAGTTCTCAAAGAAAATCGTCTATCCTGTTTGTTATGATTACATGACTTGTATAGTATGACGTGAACATCGATGATGTCATTTGCAATATAAATTATGATGTCACTTCATTTAGTTGGTGCTTAACTATTCACTATCTAATTTATTCGTATATGAAATTGAAATAATAAATAAATAAATAATCGCATCTTGATTCAAGACTTGTAAAGGTATGAGATTACATTGTAGAAATCACATGCTGATGAAAATGAGAATAATTATTAGCAATTGAAAAAAGTCGGTTAAAATGGGCGGGACTTGTTTTTGATATCAGGTTACTGACTCGATATCAAAAATAATTATCAGACAAGTGTTATCGGGCAGTTACCATAGCAGTTGCATGATAAACATAGAAAATGCGTCCTTGGTTTGCACTTGAGGTTTAGTAAACTTAAGATTGAGTGAATTTGATGTTTGAACATCTTTGGCATTGACTTAATTTAAACCTTTCAAACTAGAGAAAATTAATAATTTTATCAAAATTCAATAAATCTGATTATACACAGATTGAGCATGTTAAGGGTTAATGAAATTCTGTTGTGTTTGATTTCAGTGTGAGGAGATTGAAATATCAGCATTCACATTTGAGAAATTTTATGAATTATATCACAAGATATGTCCACGTACTGATATAGAGGATCTGTTCAAAGAATGGTAGGTATCAGCTCTTTACGTTTTATTTTTTGCTAGCTCCATCAAACAAGCTTACAGAATGTCAGTGGTTCTACTCAGGTGCCCGATCATACCTGAAATAATGCACGGAAGGCATCTGCCAATAGTAAAAGTTGGAACGTCCCCATATGACCTATACTCTGTCGATGTGACGTAAAACCAAATCAAACAAACAAAAACTCCTTCAAATATGACAGAAAGTTGACATAACTACATGAAGTAGATTTCTGTTTTCAAGTGGCTAAGGTGTTGGTACTTCCAATGACTTGAGCCTAGTTACTATGTTTCAGTCTAGTCATAGGGGTTGTGTTGTTTTGATATGAGGTTAGTAGCTTGCTAAATTGGAATAATTTATATATTTGTAGACTTGTCCTGAATTTGGATCAGTGTATTGTTGTGTTAATCTTTATCATGCTATATATCTTAAAATGGACTTATCTGTCCTTTAAATCTGGGCATAACTATTAATAACTTTTAAGGAAATTTTCTAAGTAAGTACTGTTGAATAGTGAACAGTAAGTACTGTTGAATAGTGAACAGTGCAGACCATGAATAGATGGCACATTTGTGTCGGCTGACCTTTATCTGCACTGGTCACATGGGTAAATTCAATTGCCACCAGCAAGTTAAGGGTAAAATGTTTTCAAATTTAAGCAGTCCAGTCTTTTTTTGCTGATGGGAAAGATGAATTATTATGATTGCTTCCATAAAAAAAGTCAAAATAGATGATCATTTTTTGACCCACTTTGTCTTATATTATGCATCATTAGTAAATTCATTTATTTACATAAAAGTGACTATTTATAGTAGTGTTATTAAGAACTTTCAATTGAAAAGTCATTTTGAAATGTTTACAACTAGCAGGATATAATATCATTGGAATGTACATGTACCAATAAATAAAACATCCTAAGATTTACAGTAAAAAATTATAATGATATTGCTACAAGAATAACAAAAGTAGCCTGATTGTATATACATGTTTAATCCATAGATTAAATGCCTGAGATTCAGCATTTTTTTATAGATGCAGTATTTGATTAATAGTTAATACATCCTAGACTTTGGCAAATAATGACATAGGGAAGTGCAAGAGTTTGTTGGCCAGTCTGTAGACAATAGATAGCTGACCCTGTTATTATGCAAATACCAAGAATAAATCTGAATAGGAGAATAACATTTCTCATTTTAGGCCTTTAGCTTTTATATAGAAGTCATTCCAATACTGGCCCTACAAAGTGTATTTTGCAATTTTCTTGGACAGTTTATTATGTAATGTGACTTGCTTCATAGGAAAGTGAAATAAAATTTATTGGTCTGCTTGAAGAAATATTGATGTTGGCAGAAGAATTTTTGTCTTGTTTTTGAGTTTTTTTTTTTTTTTTTTTTTTTTTTTTTTTTTTGGGGGGGGGGGGGGTATAATTAATGTCTCATTAGAACTAAGACTGTCCTATATGATGTTTGAAATAATCTTGTATAAATCTCAACATTTTTATTTCTGTTGTTTATAATGCAGGGTGTAAAAGCGTACATCTGTTTACCTTCATTGATAGACCACATGCCAATAAAAGCAACATTTCTATCTACCAGATACTATCTCTACAGAACTGTTGGTTTGGCTTTGTTTAGAATAAGCAAGAAAATAAATCAATTGTTTCATGATGTTTATTTGAGAATTCTATGGTTTTGTTGCTCTTGTTCAATCATTTACAGTTATGGATTTGTGGAGAAACTTGTGCAAATTATTGCTGACTTGTTCATGCAATATTAACATCCTTTCAGATAATGCATCTTTCCATAAAATTTCTCATTGAATACACAACTGTCATTTCAATTTAAATAATTTAGATTTCAAGCCATCTATTTTTTTTCCTGGGAAAAGATAAAAGTTTTATTATTGATTTATTGATCTAGAAATTAATTAAGTGATTCTTTTGGAGTTTTTATGGATGCTTGCTATATTGGTCCAGTGATGCTTGATCAATTATTATTTTAAAGTTTTCTGTAAATCAGATTTGATAGAATTGTTCTAAAATCTTCCTTTACTGAAACCGAGGGGTATTAACCTTTGGCGCCAGTATAGAGCCAGGCCAATCTACACATCCATACAGTCTGACCAGGCTCTATACTGGTGGCTGACTGACTTTCAATATTTATCTTGATATACCCAAACTGAAAAAAAGAAAAGAAAAGAAAACTGATAAGTCCTATAAAATTTAACAGGAAACCGGATTGGCTCTAGTGGTGAATAATATTGACCTGACATCACCAGCTTATAATCTGTGATTTTATTTGTAGGTTCTGTTCAGACATTTTAAATGATCTGTATTTGTTAGCTGCATGATTAAAAAAATGTTAATAAAAAACCTAGTATGTTAAAATGTTTAATGTTTAGATGAAAAGTAAATACTTATTTATCATGATAAAATCATTCAAAAACATAAACAAACAAAAAGGAGTAGAATGTCAAAAAAATAGGTCTGGTTTCCTCTGCTTATGACTGAAATTTGTGACTGAAGTAAAGTACAGAGTGGCACTCTAGGTCTGCCTGCATTAACACATGACTTAAAACCCAACAAATATCTCCTCTCTTCCCACAAAAAACAAACAATAAATGTATATCTCTAAGGATGTCATTTAATATAAGAGCTATTTGCTTGATACTGCTTTATTTAGTGAGCTATGTGTCATTATCAGGAAAGATAAATGAGCCGCGTCACGACAAAACCAACATAGTGGGTTTGCGACCAGCATGGATCCAGACCAGCCTGCGCATCCGCGCAGTCTGATCAGGATCCATGCTGTTCGCTTACCAACTCTTTTACAAGTGGAGAAACTGATAGCGAACAGCATGGATCCTGATCAGACTGCGCGGAAGCGCAGGCTGGTCTGGATCCATGCTGGTTGCAAACTCACTATGTTGGTTTTGTCATGACGCGGCTCAAATACATTTTCACTCATGCATTACAGTTAATAAGCCTGGAATCAAGTGATTTGTTTATCGCCGGCGTGGGGTTGGGGGCATGGGGTGGGAGAGGTGTAGGTGGAATGGGAGATATGGAGTATTCATTCCAATTAATTTATATTTTGTTGAAATTTATAAAATTTTGTCCTTGACAGATTTACAGTTTCATATGCTAAAACAATCTGGTGTGGAAGCCCATGAGGGACACAGTTAATAAATACCCTTTGTATACCCCTCTATTGCCAGTCCATCATTCAATGGGTATCAAATACCATTAATTAATTTTGGAAAACAGTTAAATATCAAATTTGTGTTGAATATTTAGTAACATTGACATTGATAAAGTGGTTTCCATTACATGCCACTATTAGGTTAAATTTCTATTATTTAACATGATTCACTATACACACGCTCATGTATACTTGTTACATACTGATGCTACTTGTGGTTTAGAAAATTAGAAATCAAATTAAATGTTTATAAAATGAGAGCACTGCATCTGTCAAAAAAAAAAAAAAAAAAAAATTGTCTTTTCATGGTTACCTTTCTATTTTCTCGGGAAAGTGGGACAAAAGAGCAATTATTTTTAAATCCTTCAACCCAGGAAACCAAAGGTGAATAGATTTTGCCACCAATATAGCGCCAGAGGCCAGCCTTGACATTTATGTTGTCTGGTCAGGTGTGACTAACTTTAAATTTTCATCTTGTATTCCAAAAAATTGACAGTTTCAAAAATTTAAGTCATATACAAGTGTGACAAGACTCTGTTCTTGTGGCCATCTGTCATTCCCAGACTCATTATCATATTTTCCCTCTCCACCATTGAAACTACTCTGACAGTATTAAAAAAAAATGTAAAATTTCTTCTGCAAGATATTGAAGTAGAATTTGCAAAATAGATTTGCCTTACATTAATTTTAAAAGTTTTCTGTATTTATGGGTTTAAGTATTGAACTTCTGAAAATAAGCAGATGCTGTATTAATATAATATCTTGAATAAAAATAGAATTGTACAATGAAAAGAAGTTATCAATGTAATAAAACCTACGCTACTATTTTATTTTGCTTTTGGTGTTATAATTATGTTCTTGGGTGATTTATGCTAGCACACCTGAAGCTTGAAGCCTTACTTTACATATACATTTTAATAAGATTGTAATTTGTTGTATTATGGTATAAGTAAAAAAAAAGTCTGACAAAAAAAGTGAACTACTTAAGTTTAAATTAAATACAATTTTTTTGTGTGTTTCAGGAGTAGTAATAGACCATATTTGACAGATGAAACTATGATAAATTTCTGCAATGAGGTAAGCTATAAAGATATATTATTAGCTCAACTTATTCAAGGAAAAAAGTATAAACTCTTGCTACAGTCATATTGTCATTGATGTTTGCTGTTCTTGTCCGAACACTTAAAGATGGTGATATTTATACCCCAACAAATGAAGTTTTAGGGGGTATACCGGAGCCAGCTGGTTGTCGGTGGGTCTGGCGGTCAGTCATTTGGTCAGTCTGTTGCAGATTTCTTGTCCAGGACATAATTCTGAAACTTTAAGAGATATAACCATCAAATTTGTAGGTAGATAGATCTTATCAAGTATAAGTGCAGTCCTAAAGTACCATAACTCTGCCTTTCCTAATTTTGGAGTTATTGCCCTTTATTCATTTTTTACACTTTGAACTTTGTTAAGGACACAAGGGATATTAACAAGAAACTTTGTAGGTAGATAAATCTCATTGAGTAGAAGTGCAGTGCAAAAAAACTGTAACTCTGCCTTGCCCTAATTTTGGACTTATTGTCCTTTGTTCATTATACCCCCACAAATGAAGTTTAGGGGGGGTATATAGGATACAGCTTGTCGGTCGGTCCGTCGGTTGGTCCACATCATGGTTTCCATACGATAACTAGAGTTTGGAATGAGGTATTGTCATCAAACTTGGTATATAGCAACCTTATGTGGAAACTCCGGTTGGTATTGCATTTGGACCCCCTGGGGTCAAGGTCACCGTTACTAAAAATAGAAAAATGGTTTCCGGACAATAACTAGAGTTAGGAATGAGATATTGTTATCAAACTTGGCGTATAGCAAGCTTATATGAATACCTTGGTTGGTATTGCATTTGGGCCCCCTGGGGTCAAGGTCACCATTACTAAAAATAGAAAAATGGTTTCCGGACAATAACTTGACTTAGGAATGAGATACTGTAATCAAACATGGTGTATAGCAAGCTTATATGAAGACCTGGGTTGGTATTGCATTTGGACCCCCTGGGGACAAGGTCAAGGTCACCGTTACTAAAAATAGAAAAATTGTTTCAGGACAATAACTAGAGTTAGGAATGAGATTTATTGTTATCCAAAACTTGGCGTATAGCAAGCTTATATGAAGACCTGGTTGGTATTGCATTTTGGCCCCTGGGGGTCAAGGTCAAGTTCATTGTTACGAAAAATAGAAAAATGGTTTCCAGACAATAACTTTACTTAGGAATGAGATACTGTAATCAAACTTGGTGTATAGTAAGCTAATATGAAGACCTGGGTTGGTATTGCATTTGGACCCCCCTGGGGTCAAGGCCAAGGTCACTGTTACTAAAAATAGAAAAATGGTTTCCGGACAATAACTAGAGTTAGGAATGAGATATTGTTATCAAACTTGACATATAGCAAGCTTATATGAAGACCTAGGTTGGTTTTGCATTTGGGCCCCCTGGGGTCAAGGTCAAGGTCACCGTTAGGAAAAATAGAAAAATTGTTTCCAGACAATAAGTAGAGTTAGGAATGAGAAATTGTAATCTAATTTGGTGTAAAGGAAGCTTATATGAAGACCTGGGTTGGTATTGCATTTGGACCCCCTAGGGTCAAGGTCACCGTTACAGTGTTACTAAAAATAGAAAAATGGTTTCCGGACAATAACTAGAGTTAGGAATGAGATATTGTAATCAAACTTGGTGTATAGCAAGCTTATTTCGAGACCCCAGTTGCGATTACAATTAATTGAAATATTTCTTGTACACAGTTGATAGTTTGTGTTCAAATTTTTCTTCAGACTACTTTTTTTTCAAAAAGTCAAAGTTGCTGGTGGGGGTATTAATCACCTTCAGTGATAGGTCTAGTTTTTACACTTTTTATACTTTGAACTTTGTCTGGTACATAATTCTTAAAGGACAAGGTATATGAACAAGAAAATTTTGTAGGTAGATAAATTTAATTGAGTAAAAGTTCAGTGCAAAAGAACCGTAACCCTGCCTTCTCTTATTTTTGAGTTATTGCCCTTTGTTTACTTTGTCCGGGACATTTAAAGCGACCAGGATATTAACAAGAAACTTTGTAGGTATATAGATTTCATTTAGTAGAAGTTCAATGCAAAAGAACTGTATATCTGCCTTTCCTTATTTTGGAGTTATGACCCATTGTTTATTATTATAAATCTAAAATGACAAGGGGTATTAATAAGAATCCCTGACATAACTCTAAAACGACAAGGGGTATTAGCATGAAATTTTGTAGGTAGATAGATTTCATTGAGTAGAAGTGCAGTGCGGAAGAACGGTAACCTTCGCTACCCTAATTTTGGAGTTATTGTCCTTTGTTCATTCTACACTTTGAACTTTGTCAAGGACATTACTTGAGAACTATGAAAGGTATCAACATGTATGTAGATAGATCTCACTGAGTAGAAGTGCAGAAATCTCAGGGAGAATGTATTGCCCTTAAAAGAAGTCATGAAAACTTCAAATCCAAACTTTAATTTATCTTATTGATCTTATTGACATAGGACAGATCATTTAAAAACATTTGAAATAAATCTGTAAACTACTGCATTCTCCCTATGTGCAAATTTATTTACTAAAAAGCATGTTTTCTGACAAGAGCGTGTCCTGGGTAATCGGCACTTGTGACAATTTCTAGTTTTCATTATAAACAATATTTTTGTAATCTTTTATTGTTGTGTCTATGGACTTGGAACTTTATGGGATTATAGATCTCATTGAGATAAAGTGCAGTGCACAAAAACCGGTACTCCATGATTTTTGAGTTACTGCCCTTTGTTTATTCTTTTACTTTATTTTTATCCCGGCCATTTCACCTAAAATATTAAAGCTATGGACTTGAATCTTCATAGGATGATAGATTATCAGGTCATATGCCACTAAAATTCAAGGTACCTGTACATTGTAAGAGCAGTGTTTATAAATAACCTATATTTAAGAAGAAAATGATAAAGTAACAGCTATATTGTTCATAAGGTGACACATCTGGCTCGCATAGTTTTAGTTCTCTCATACAATAGATATTATCCTTAATTTTGCAAAAATATTTTTTCCAAGCTTATCTCCAAGTACAAACAAACTCTTTACATTAAAGCTGAGGGATGCACTAGCATTTACAATAGATTATTCAACCTGTTGTGCTTATTTTGAAGTTATAACAGTCAAAGTTTGTACTACATGTATATTGCCTGAAGAATGATTCACATTTCTACTAGTTTTCATACTGTAATTTGTTTTACAGTCTCTTTAGGGATTTGTACTCAAAAGAATAAGGAAAAAAGTATAGTTGATTTACTGTTTATCGTAATAGATAATGACAAGCTGTTTTTAAAGATCATCTCTTGGGAAATTTTTGTAAAACAATGAAAATGAAAGCCTTCACAATAGATAAACCAATATCTGTTATGTTACCAATTTTACAATAATTCAGTAATTTACATTCTTTTATAAGATACCTCTATGAAGACCCTTTAATAAACCAGTTAACAAACCACCCTGATTTTTGATTTGTGTATAAGATGTGCAATTTTTTTATCTATTGTGAAAGATAGTAAAAGATACTAATGGAAGTTTTGAAGAGACACATTATAAGTAATTTACTTAAAGCTTATATTGTTGTCAACTTTTAACCCTTAGCCTTGGCAACAGATCCTATGAATGAAGCTAATGCAGACCTAAATCAGTTGGCATACTCCATGTTATCTAGATGTGCTATCTGATCATGGTTTGCTATTCAGTCCATATTACATATTTTGAATTTTCCCTAAAAATGATCAATAATTTTGTCTAGAATAAATATGGACACATCCATTTATGATGTTTAGTATTGTATGGGTTAAACATGATTTTATGATTTGATTTTTTGTCACTGATGAAATTTCATAGAGGCTGTTAGAAAAATTGCCACATTAAGTATCAGCAGTTTTGTTTATTTGTTCTGTTAATTGTCCCCCGCCTTTTCGAAGAAAAAAGGGGGATATAGTAATAGGCTCCATCCGTCTGTCTGTCCGTCCGTCACACTTTTGTGTCCGATCCATAACTTTGTCATTTATCAAAGGAATCTGAAATAATTTGGCACAAATGTTTGTTATAATAAGACGATGTGTTGTGCACAACAACCAGACCCCTACCTCCATTCAAGGTCAACATTGTCTATTTGAGGGTATATGTTGTGTCTGGTCCATAACTTTCTTATCTTTGATGGGATTTTGTAAATACTTGCCACAATTGTTCACAATAATGAGACGATTCTGTCATGCGAAAACAACAGTCCACCTACCTCCAAGGTCAAGTCACACTTGGAGGTCAAGATTAACATAGTTTGTTTAGGTAACTTTTGTGTCCCGTCCATAAACTTTTTGTCACCTGTCACAAAGTGACAGGGTGAGCTTTTGTGATCGCTTTTCGTCCGGCGTCCGTCCGTTAAACTTTTGCTTTAAATGACATCTCCTCATAAAACCACTGAGCCAATTTCATCCAAACTTCACAGGAATGTTTCTTTTTTGGTTGGTCACCTTTAAAAATTGTTCCAAAGAATTTAATTCCCATGCAGAAAAATCTGGTTTTTGCCATGGCAACCGAAAGAAAAATCTTTAATATATCTTCTTTTAAACAACCCTTAAGAGCTAGAGCTTAGATATTTTGGCATGAATCATCTTCTAATGGAGTGTCTACCAAGTTTGTTCAAAAAAAAGCCCTGGGGTCAAAATTGGCCCCGCCCCGGGGGTCATTGATTTTCCCTTATATGCATATAGTAAAAAACTTAAAAAATCTTCTTTTAAAGAAACCCAAAGAGCTAAGCTAAGATATTTGCATTGAAAACATCTTCTTAATGCAGTGTCTACCAAGTTTGTTCAAATTAAAAGGCCCCTGGGGTTCAAAAATTGGCCGCGCCCGGGGGGGTCATTGGATTTGCCCCTATATGCATATAGAAAAAACTTAAAAAAAATCTTCTTTTAAAAAGAACTGTAAGAGCTAGAGCTTAGATATTTTAGCATGAAAACATCTTTAGTGCATGTCTACCAAGTTTTGTCCAAAATAAAAGCCCTTGGGGTCAAAATTGGCCCCGCCCCAGGGGGGTCATTGATTTTCCCTATATGCATATAGGTAAAAAACTAAAAAAAATTCTTCTTTTAAAGATCCCAAAGAGCTTTTAGAGCTAGAATTTAGATGAAAACATCTTCTAATAGTGTCTACCAAGTTTTGTTCAAATAAAAGCCCTGAGGTTCAAAATTGGCCCTGCCCCAGGGGGTCATAGATTTTCCCTATATGCATATTTAGTAAAAACTTAAAAAATCTTCTTTTAAAAACCCAAAAGCTAGAGCTAAGATATTTTTGGCATGAAAACATCTTCTAGTGCAGTGTCTACCAAGTTTTTCAAATTAAAAAAGCACTGGGGGTCAAAATTGGCCCCGCCCCGGGGGTCATTGATTTTCCCTTATGGCATTTAAGTAAAAACTTTCAAAAAATCTTCTTTTAAAGAACCCCCAAAGAGGCTAGAGCTAAGATGTTTAGCATGAAACATCTTCTAATGAGTGTCTACCAAGTTTGTTCAAATAAAAGCCCTGAGGTCCAAAATTGGGCCCTTGCCCCCAGGGGGTTCATAGATTTTTCCCTATATTGCATAAAGTAAAAAACTTTAAAAAATCTTCTTTTAAAAGAACCCAAAGAGCTAGCTAAGATATTTGGCATGAAACATCTTCTAGTGAGTGTCTACCAAGTTTGTTCAAATAAAAGCCCTGGGGTCAAAATTGGCCCGGCCCCGGGGGGGTCATTGATTTTCCCTATATGCATAAAAGTTAAAAACTTAAAAAAATCTTCTTTTAAAGAAACCGTAAAGCTAGAGCTTATGATATTTGCATGAAACATCTTCTAGTGAATGTCTACCAAGTTTGTTCAAATAAAAGCCCTGGGGCAAAATTTGTCCCGCCCCAGGGGGTCATTGATTTTCCCTATATGCATATAGTAAAAACTTAAAAAATCTTCCTTTAAAGAAACCCAAAGAGCTAGAGCTAAGATATTTAGCATGAAACATGTTCTAATGGGTGTCTACCAAGTATGTTCAAATAAAAGCCCTGGGGTCAAAACTGGTTCCGCCCCAGGGGGTCATTGGATTTTCCTTATATGTGTATAGCAAAAACTTAAAAATCTTCTTTGAAAAAACCCAAATAGCTAGAGTTTAGATATTAAGCATGAAACATCTTGAAGTAAATATCTACAAAGTTTGTTCAAATAAAAGACCCGGGGGGTAAAAAACTGCCCTGCCCAGGGGTTGTCATTGTTTTTAACTAAATGTGTATAGTAAAAACTTAAAAAATCTTCTTTTAAAAAACCCAATGAGCTAGAACTTAGATGTTTAGCATGAAACATCTTCTTATGGGTGTCTACCAAGTCTGTTCAAATAAACAAATAGAAGCCCTTGGGTAAAAATTGGCACGGGGGATGGGGGGGGCTATATACAGGTGATCAACCTCAGGGCCATCATGGCCCTCTTGTTCATATATCAAAGGACTTTTGTAAATACTTGCCACAAAAATTTCCCACAATAAGTGTGTTTCATGCGCAAACCTGATTCCCCATCAATTTAAAGGTAGGTTGAGGGCAAAAAATTAAATGTTGTTTTTGGGTTATTTTTGTTTCCTCTGAACTTTTTTGGGGGTTTTTTGGACAAAAATTTTATAATAATTAGACGTTGTCAAATACAAAACTGCACCCCTACCCTTCAAAGGGAAGGTACACTTTGGGGCAAAGGTTAAAGGGCTGTTTATGGGAATTTTTTGGCCCGTCATTACTTCTTCATAGATCAAAGGGGTTTTCAAAAAATTTTTTTACAATATCACAAAGATAAAATGATATGTCATGGAAACCGTGTCCCTACTCCAAGGTCAAGGCCAAGATAAAAGGTCAAAGATTTACATAGTCTGTTATAGGGTATATTTTGTGTCCAGTCCATAACTTTTTCATAGATCAAAGGATTTTAAAAATACTTTACAAAAATAATCACAATAATAAGAGGATATATCAGGTCCAAAACATGGGTCCCTACCTCCAAGGTTACACTTAGAGGTCAAAGATTAACAAAGTCTGTTATAGGGTATATTTTGTGTCCGATCTATACATTTTTCATAGTTCAAGGGATTTTAAAAATTCTTGGCACAAATAGTTACAATAATAAGACAATATATCATGCACAACACCTGCACCCCTACCTCCAAGGTCATACTCAGAGGTCAAAGCTTAACATGATAGATTTTTAAATTCTGTGTTTCATTTTATTTCTTTAATAAATTTATTGTTGCATTTGCAGATCTAGCATTGATCATAATTTTGGACTGAAAGTCCTGAGATTCATACCTCAATTTTGAAATAGCACAATTTTATGCTTCATATAAAACTTCCCCGAGGCGGGGGACGTTGGTAACTCTGTTACAAATTCTTGTTGAATATGAATTAAGTTCCAATTTTTCAGCGTAATACAGACTGAAGGCTAAGTTATACTTATATACATTTTCCTTAATTTGAAGGTGTTGCCTTTATTTAAGATGATGGAAAATTGGTGACAGATATTATCAATTAAGTATTAGCTTTTTTTGTATTGTAGAAACAGAGAGATCCCAGATTAAATGAAATCCTATTCCCAGAATACAACAGAAAAAGTATCACAAAAATAATACAGACATATGAACTGGATTCAGAATACAGAAACAAAAGTAAGTACATTTTATAATATTTCTATCTGTATCAATTAGATTGAGCGAGATTAAGCTATTGGGTGCTGTACTGAATATTTACAAACTGAATTTCATCTTGAATAGTTCTTGTAAGTTATATGTTCAAGAGAATATGTGCCGCTGCTTTGTTCTTGTAGATTTTTATACTGGCTCATAATTATACCCTTTCATATTTGCTAGGTATCTAACTTGGGTGGACTTAATTTGTAGTATGTAGTGCATGTTTTTTTTTCTATAACTATGAATAGATAATGTAAGGGTAAGAGAATCTTACACACAAATACAACACCACAAAAAGACAATTCGTACATGAGTGTTGCTAAAAATAATATTAACCATTAACTTACTGTTTTATAAGAGGAGGTTTAAAATAAAAGGGTTATTGTTAGAGTATCATAATCAAGTATGTATTTGGCTCTCATAGATTTTACTAGGAAAGATCACCGCACTTTCTAGCCAGTTGAGGAAATCCACAAATACAAGTTCTAGATCAACTTAATGTTATGTAATATATCAAATTGATATACTGATCATGTAGTTTTTCAGTGTGTATTGTCTGGTTTTCATCCTTAATTTTTTGCATTATATTGTGAACAGTGTTCTTAATTGGAGAGAGATGGACAATTTTACATCTATAAAAATATCATCAGAGATGGTAATAAGCATTGTTTGATGATTGATAATTTACTATCTTGATATATTTATATAATGTTATATTTATTTTTTTTGTCAGATTGGTTAAGTCTTGATGGATTTTGCCGTTACTTAATGTCAGATGATAATGCTCCTGTATTTTTGGACCGGTTAGATATTTATCAGGACATGGAACAACCATTATCTCATTACTATATCAATTCTTCACACAATACATATCTCACTGGACGACAGTTTGGTGGTCGCTCATCAGTCGAGATGTACAGACAGGTCCTTCTTGCAGGTTGCAGGTATGTTTCTCTAACATTATTCTGTGTCCATGGATTTGATCACCTGTGGAGATATTGGTAATTACTGGTCAGTATCCAGGAAAGCCTGTAAAGTGGACCATCTGCCGAGATATGACAAAGTTGTGTTAGAAATGGCATAAAAAACACTAGCCCTTAATAACTATTGATTCAAATACTTTAATTCTGTCATATGAGAAAGCTATCCTATTGTCAGTAAACATTCAGGTACCTGTTGGTGCCTGATTTTATGGATGGATGTGCATCTGAGGTCTTCCTCGCCCTGTAAAGCCGGAAATTGCCAACTGAACTCTGCTGTGTGGGTGCATTGAAAACCCCAACTAAAGAAAACAAAATAAACAAAAACATCTTAACAATTTTGCTGTGTTGTTCAACTATATTTTGAATATGTTTTTGGCTGTTTCTGTCACTTTGTTGTACAAGTACATCTTTACTATTTTGTTAAGTTGTTACATCTTGGCAATTTTCATTTGTTGTACAGCAAAACTAGACAAATTATTATTCAATTATAATCTAGTTTTCATTTTTATTGAGACTTTTTATTAGCTCACCTGTCACACTGTGACAGGGTGAGCTTTTGTGATCGCTTTTTGTCCGGCGTCCGTCCGTCCGTAAACTTTTACTTTAAATGACATCTCCTCATAAACCACTAAGCCAATTTCATCCAAACTTCATAGGAATGTTTCTTTGGTGGTCACCTTTAAAAATTGTTCAAAGAATTTAATTCCATGCAGAACTCTGGTTACCATGGCAACCGAAAGAAAAAACTTTAAATATCTTCTTTTAAAAAACCCAAAGAGCTAGAGCTTAGATATTTGGCATGAAACATCTTCTAGTGAGTGATTACCAAGTTTGTTCAAATAAAAGCCCTTGGGTCAAAATTGGCCCCGTCCCAGGGGGTCATTGATTTTCCCTATATGCTTATAGTAAAAACTTAAAAAATCTTCTTTTAAAGAACCCAAAGAGCTAGAGCTAAGATATTTAGCATGAAACATCTTCTAATGAGTGTCTACAAAGTTTGTTCAAATAAAAGCCCTGAGGTCAAAATTGGCCCTGCCCCGGGGGTCATTGATTTTCCTTATATGTGTATAGCAAAAACTTAAAAAAATCTTCTTTGAAAAAACCCAAATAGCTAGAGTTTAGAGATTAAGCATGAAACATCTTCTAGTGAGTGTCTACAAAGTTTGTTCAAATAAAAGCCCTGGGGTCAAAATTGGCCCCGCCCCGAGGGTCATTGATTTTCCTTATATGTGTATGTCAAAAACTTAAAAATTTTCTTTGAAAAAACCCAAATAGCTAGAGTTTAGATATTAAGCATGAAACATCTTCTAGTAAGTGTCTACAAAGTTTGTTCAAATAAAAGCCCTGGGGTCAAAACTGGCCCCGCCCCAGAGGTGTCATTGTTTTTAATTATATGTGTATAGTAAAAACTTAAAAAATCTTCTTTTAAAAAACCCAATGACCCAGAGGTAAGATGTTTAACTTGAAACATCTTCTTGTGGGTGTCTACCAAGTCTGTTCAAATAAAAGCCCTTGGGTTAAAATTGGCCCTGCCGGGGGGGGGAGGGTGCAGAGGTCATTGTTTTTCATTTTATGTGTGTAGTAAAAACTTAACCTAATGGGTGTCTTCCAAGTTTGTTCAAATAAAAGCCCTGGGGTTTAAACTGGCCCCGCTCCGGGGGCCTATATACAGGTGAGCGACCTCAGGGCCATCATGGCCCTCTTGTTTCTTAACTCTCATGATTTCAGTGTCTTTTATGTTAAATTTCTCATGGAAATTGAATTTTGTAATAAGAGGAATGATACTGTTACCAGATTTATAATCCAATTGGTTTACCTATATTGTGACATCTATGACTGAACAAATGATATAGAGATCACATTTTCAAATGTTCCATGTTGTAGGTTGAATATCATGAATCTAGAAAAAATCAACAGGTTTTATATTCAGAGAAGAAATGATTTATTAATCATTTTAGTTCATTTCTGGTTTCATTTCTATACTGGTTCCAAAATGAAACTTTAAGTCCTGCTGAGTTTATCAGATGTGTCTAGCATCTGGTATTCACCTGTTTTTAGTTGTTGTTTTTTTCTCTTTTCGATTTAATGTACAGAATTTTTTTATGTTGTGTACTAATAATACAGTTTATGAAAATTTATTAAGATGATGAAAATCAAAATAATGGTGAACACATGTCAGAGCTTGAACTCTTTATTGTCTTGTCTAATGAAATGATTAAATGCAGCAGAAATTAACAGATCTCATATGCAAGATACTGTATAAGAAAACATCCTTTATATATACATTACATTATAATGTTAATAAGAAAAGGAACCTGTACAGACAGGTACCATGTAATATGTTTTTAGCTCACCTGAACACAGAGGTGAGGTTTTGCTATCACTCTGCGTCCATCATGTGTCAGTGAATTGTGTATTGTCAATAGCTTCAGACACTTGTTAATTCTTACACCAATAGGTCAATATTGTTTATTAGTTATGCAGTATGTATACATAGTAATATTTGTTTCTGTTTAATTTCTCAGCAAGTACTGTCTTGATTTAAATGAAACTTTTTGGGAACATTCAATACCAATAGGAGATGAGCATATTATTTGCATGATCGAGTTAAATTGTGCAACTCAATGTTTAGACCATTGATTGGTTATGCAGTATGTATACTGAGTAAAAAAATCCTAGAAAATGGAAAACTTTCTTAACATTCTATAGGCTACTGTTTCAGTCCAAATATGCTGGATATTGTCATATATTGTCAGAAAGGTTGTTTTGATGATTTCTAGGTCAAGTCAAAGTACGGGTCACATAGCCAAAATATGGGAAAACGTTGTTTACACTCTAGAGGCTACTTTTTTGGTCCAAATATCCAGGATTTTGATCAGATAGGTTGTTTAGATAATTTCTAGCTCAAGATTGAGTATGGTTCATATGGAGTCAAAGACTATGTCACAAAGTAAAAATTTTGAAAGGCCTTGTTGACACTCTAGAGGTAATATTTTCAGGAAATTTGTCAGAATAGTTGCTTCTACTTCCATAGCAACCATTGACTTGTCATGCCAACAAGTGTCTTCCATAGCACCCATTAGCTTTTTATTGCATCTTTTGACTTCCTCAACAATCATTGCCTTTCCATAGCAAAGAGTGACTTTACTATGTAGCCATTTGTAATCAAAGCAACCATTGTCTTTCCATAGCAGCTAGTGACTTCCATAGCACCATATCCTTTCTTTAGCAACCAATGACTTTCCTTATTAGCGATTTATAATCAAAGCAAACATTGGTTTTCCTTTTCAACAATTTATAATCCTTTCTTAAGTAACCTGTGACTTCTATAGTAATTATTGAAATTTTCTTTAGCAATAGCAACCAGTTACTTATTTACATTTGTGCTATGTCAGATGCAGATGTGAACTTTATGATTAAGACATTATATCTGGCTGTTACTCATAGTTTACAATATTAATTGTTCCTTGTCATTAAGAGCCTTTATAATCAGATGAGCGATATAAGGCCCATCATGGCCCACTTGATATTATGGTGTTATGAATATGGTTTATTTCAAGTAAAATAAGCTCCCACTAAGTCTAGTTAAAATTTATTAATTGATGTTCTGTTGATAATGCAGAACTATTCTTCCTGCCATTTTAACGCAATGATTGGAAAGCTTAAATCTAAGTTCTTTGAGGCATTTTTATCTTGACTATTGGAAAAAATAGTGGGACTAAAATTTTCTGTTCCATTGGCTGAATACAGATGGCAAAGGTTTTCTGGTTCACTGGCTGTATACTGCTGTGTTCCACTGGCTGAATACAGATGGCAAAGGTTTTCTGTTCCACTGGCTATGTACTGGTGGCAAAGGCTTTCTGTTCCATTGGTTGAATACAGATGGCAAAGGTTTTCTGTTCCATTGGCTGAAAACAGATGAAAAAGGTTTTCTATTCCACTGGCTGTATACTGATGGCAAAGGTTTTCTGTTCCACTGGCTGAATACTGTTGCAAAGGTTTTCTGTTCCACTGGCTGAATACTGTTGGCAAAGGTTTTCTGTTCCACTGGCTGAATACTGTTGGCAAAGGTTTTCTGTTCACTGGCTGAATACTGTTGGCAAAGGTTTTCTTGTCCACTGGCTGTATACTGATGGCAAAGATTTTATGTTCCACTGGCTGTATACTGATGGCAAAGGTTTTCTGTTCCACTGGCTGAATACTGTTGGCAAAGGTTTTCTGGTTCACTGGCTGTATACTGCTGGCAAAGGTTTTCTGGTCCACTGGCTGTATACTGATGGCAAAGGTTTTATGTTCCACTGGCTGTATACTGATGGCAAAGGTTTTCTGTTCCACTGGCTGAATACTGTTGGCAAAGGTTTTCTTGTCCACTGGCTGTATACTGATGGCAAAGGTTTTCTGGTCCACTGGCTGTATACTGATGGCAAAGGTTTTCTGTTCCACTGGCTGTATACTGATGGCAAAGGTTTTCTGTTCCACTGGCTGAATACTGATGGCAAAGGTTTTCTGGTCCACTGGCTGTATACTGCTGGCAAAGGTTTTCTGGTCCACTGGCTGTATACTGATGGCAAAGGTTTTCTGTTCCACTGGCTGAATACTGTTGGCAAAGGTTTTCTGGTCCACTGGCTGTATACTGATGGCAAAGGTTTTCTGGTCCACTGGCTGAATACTGTTGGCAAAGGTTTTCTGGTCCACTGGCTGTATACTGCTGGCAAAGATTTTCTGGTCCACTGGCTGTATATTTGGTAAAAATAGTTACATATCTGCACTCATACACATCAATATATCATCACTATAACAAAAATATAATCCTTTGAAGATATTCGTTTGGATTTTTTAACAATCCTCTAAATATCTAAGCATACAAATTCACTATAAATTCCCTATAGCATACAAGTTACCTAAAACATAAATTCCAATAGCATTCAATTTACCTGTAGCAAAGAAATTCTCAATAACTATAACATACGTCTTTCCTTTAGCATGCAAAACTTATTCTTATAAGTTCACATATAAGTATATGCAAAACATTTTCTTTAAAGTGAACTGTGAGTGCATGCAATCATGAATGGTATATAGAAATCATTATAAAAATAACAGTCCTATATATGTTAAAAGTAATACACGATTTGTGAAATATCTATGTTGTTATTAGATGTGTAGAGTTGGACTGCTGGGATGGAAGAAATGAAGACCAGGAACCTATTATCACGCATGGAAAAGCAATGTGTACAGACATTCTTTTTAGAGTATGTTCAGTTTTATTTCTTATTCATTTTTATAAGTACAATTACTATTGGACCCTTCTACTAAGTATTGATCATTGTATATTTACGGGATTTTAATATCAATATTCATGACAATTCATAATGACCTCTGTACTGGCCTCTCTCACAGGAGTGGTCAGTACCAACCCCATTTGTGTAAAATTGGCCAACAGAGCTAAAAATAGAAAAATCTTGTCCTGCTTTCTCATGTCAAACTGCTTGGGAGAACATGACAAAACTTCACAGGAGTGGCCAGTACCAAGCATGATGGTGCTGCGTTAAACCAGATAAACAAATAAGAATGTAAATATTATTTCAGGATGTCATACAAGCCATTCAAGAAACTGCATTTGTCACCTCAGAGTATCCCGTCATTTTATCATTTGAAAATCATTGTAGGTAAGTAAATTCACAGATAGAGATCCTTGTTTTCCTAGACTAATCATTACAACTGTTTTACTGTATCTTCATCTAACTGTATTTATATCAATATACTGTTGGTCAGTACCATAGCAACACAAGTCAAAGCAACTGAAATTGTTCACCCAGTCTTTAAATGATTTCAGTCAGATTATTTTGAAATTTTTATGAAAATATTTTCGACATTTTTTGAAGGTATGAACAGCTAAGGTACACTTTTTAAGCATTTATAAATTTATATATGAGCCGTGACATGACATTTCCAACATAGTGGTCAAATGACGTAATCGTAGAAACACGACGTCAAAGTTGACGCCAAAATTACCACGTTTTTTTTTAAATTATATATCGCGCGTGTTTTCAATCATCGCTGTTAACAGTTTTTAACCAGTGCGCGCACCCCGGTTGTATTCCATGGAGCTTTGTAAACAAAAAACAAATGTATGAAGTGGGCGGGTCCGTTAAATCGTTATAATTATTAAACATAATGGGCAGAGGGGCGGAGAAGAGTTGGCAGGTAATAACTTGTTCTTTGTTTTGCAAGAAACTACACAGTAAGTTCAAGAATGAAAACCAATTATTAAGCAAATGTGTTAACAATCAGATTTTTAATCTCCGGAATGAGGTCTGTACTGTTTTCTGTAGGCAGACGTTTGTTTTTATAAAAACAACAAAGGGGCATTGTAAAATATTTAATTACCTTTTCCCCGATTTTTCTTTTCTAAAGTATAAAACAGATGTAACATATGGACATGCTTTCATTATTAAAATATCTGCATATGGCTAATGAAGATGCATTGGTCCTAATATTTTTTAATCAAAGAGCCGCTACTGTCCCCTCTACCATCATACGATACTCTGTGACTGTGTACGATTGATGATTTAAACTGTGTACGATGATTTAAACAGCACATTTGAAATTGTAAATTTATTATGATAATTTGTTCTACAAGTTTTAATAAAAGGCTGTACACTAAAAATAAATCTTTATAAGAACGTTTTTAACTCAGTGGATTTAAACAAGTGTAAACATACACGGCTAGGTAGAATCAATGTCTATAAAAATGCAACCGATAGATTAAAAATAAAGCTAGACGGATTGTCCCCCTTGTATCAACTCACAGTAAGTAGGCAACGTGAACCGCCTAAATTCCATTTTGGCCGTAATAGTCACTTAAATCAAATAACAACTTAATAATTTAGAATTATTTTTTAAAGAAAAACCGGGTTTTCTTTATTTTGATTTTTCGTTTTAGGAGATGTATCAAACAATTTGTTCAATGATCATTTTGTTTATCAAATACAAATGAGACACCATTATCCTGACCATGATATTTGATTTCTTATAACAGGATCGTCCGAAACGGCGACACATCGATAAGGAAATGAAATTTCTTGGTCGGGCACCAATTACCTTTGACCAATGTTCTAAAACGATTAAAGGAAAAATGAAAATCCATTATTGGCGTGGGATAGTTGTGTTCTTTTAAACAATGTAACTGCGAAAATAAATGCATAGAATAAATTTTTAGTTCTTCAGATATTAATGACCATATCATTTTTTTTTTTTAATCTATTAGAGATATGTTAAAGGGGAAGAAAAAGAACAATTAATTTTATGACTATTTTAAACACAGTAAAAAATATCAGAACGCTGACACCCGGAGAGGCTCGAAGAAAGCGCCCCACTTACTTGTTATTGTTTTTGAAGGAAAGGGAAAAATATGCGTCAGGCTTTCATGATATTATTTGACATTACAGACCTTTTTCTCTAAGAAGCTTTATGCGAAACACGTAACATGGCCATGGCGTAATCTCCACGTAAAAACATGGCAATACGTTCATGCTCTTATAACTGGACGAAAAGCCTATTCATGCTCTCCAATTGCCCATTTGACGATATGTTATGAAAATTAGTGACATTTTTACGGTCGTATTGGCTGACGAGAAATGGCTTACAACAGCCACTGCTCCGAGAGGGCGTCCATGCGGTGATCTTTCCCTACCCATTCTATCTCTAATCCTTCAATCATTGACAAAGAAAGGGCCATTCATTCTATTTTGTTGAGCAGTTTTACGATCTGAGAATGGAAAGTGTGTAAAAAAGGAACAACATTTTTGGTCAGATATTGGAAAGCTTGTGTGACCGCATAATTGTAATTGCGCCTTTCCCACCAGCAACGTCAAGGGATGTTTTTCAAAAAGTGTTGGAACAAATATCGAAAAGAAGATTGTCGATGGCGTTAGTGACAGAATTGAGAAGATGGCGGCGACGTCTTCTATGCGCAAACACCAATATTCAGCTAAGCCACAAGCAGAAGAAAATCTTTAAATCTTGACATTGATTCGTCAAAGTAAGAGCAGCCTTAGAGACAGCCCGGGGGCGTTGCTCGGCAAAATAACCTAGTTACAATGCACTATTTCATTTAAATTTTCCCCAAAACCCGTCACCATTCCGCTTTCATTGCTCGTAAAGAGGGGGCCTTTTTAAACTTCTTGTATTGAAAAAGGTTACAATTTTTTCTCCCAATTTCTTTTTTTTCCCTTTTTCCCCCTTTTTTTTTTTTAAAACAATGCGTTTTTTTAAAATTTCCCAGTTTTAACAAAATCAAATTTATTTTTCCCAATTTTTTTCAACGCCCCTTTTTTAAGTAATTTTGGTTAAATTTTTAAAACCCACGATGAAAAAATTAGGGACAGGACGGGCCAATGAAGAAATTAAAACTTTTGGGTTTAAATTTTTAATACTCCCAAACTAAAAAAAAAAACACTTTATAAAAATAAGTAACGGAAGTAGATTCTCGTCCAAAGACTTCATTAAAATAAACGTTCTACACATTCTAAAAAATGCACTCATGTGCAATTTATACCATAATGAAGTTATTTTAAATTTTGTGCCAGTATTTTAGATTTATTCATCAAAACTAAACACGCATAATGGGGTTTTTAATGACCGGGAAAAATACCCGGTATGTTTTAAAGAAATTAACATGCTTGTTTTATACATACATAATTCATTTGAGAACTTTGTAAGAAAAAAAATTAAAAGTTAGAAGTTGAATATTTGTTTAGGTACAAAGTATTTGGCTTCCGCACCGATGGAGATCCACGCCAATTAATCTATCTTTTTGATGAGAGCCAGTGCATCGGCGTAGACGGAAAGCTGTCACAACGGTCCAAATGCTGTAATTAGTATGATGCACCATGCCTTTCCAACGCGTTGGTAAACAGAAGATTATTGTTCATTACATTGCTGTAACTGCGCTGGTATTTGAAATTTTTCAACCTTTTTCTAAAAGGAACTCTTTATTGAAATAAATAATCGAGACAAACTAAATAAGCTAATTGATAAATAGAAAATATGTTTTTAATTGCAATTTATGAATTTGATTCTTTTTTTTTTGTTGGTTTACGATCGCGCCGACTCTGTTCCGAGTCCTATGTAAATGTATAAATAAAATGTGAATGAATGAATGAATGAATAATTGAATGAATGAATGAAACCAGTAAAGTTCATAAAATAAATGAATAAATTAATTAAAATTATTGCCAAATTCACACATTATGTCCGTAAATCATTTCCTTTTATAGGACAAAACAAAAAAGATATGTGTTAGCCTATCTTTTCATGGCGTGTAATGACAGGACTGCACAAGAGAATTGACCTACACATGCAGATTCCTGGTCACAGTATATGTCTTGTAGACGCTGGATTTGCAAATTTTAAGAAGATTATACAGGTGTGTTTTGCTAAATTCTAATAGCTTATTAGAAGGTCAATATAATTCATTACTATGATTGTTTAAAATAACTTTAAAAATATCCATATCTTTTTCATAATATATTTTTTATCATCAGGGTTTATTATATATATCATATATATGGGTTTTCTATATAGATGGCTACATACTGTTTATGGAACTGTCCATATATTTCGGGCGACACCTTGTATAGTTACGTGCGGGTATTTAAATCCTTTACTAGCTTTAAATTCGAAGAACTTTTACTCTTTGTAGGCGATGCTGTGATGGCAGATTCCTTGCTTGATCTTATCTTGTAAATTCAAGTAAACAAGTCTTCAACTGTTAACGAATCAGGTGAGCTACCCAGAATGGACATGGTTTGACTGGAAGACATACTTTAATCAGTACTTACAAAGCCCTACCGGGAATTTCAATCATATCAACATTTCAGGTGTCAATGTTAATAATATTACTTTTTATACAGATTTTCTTTTATCATTCTTTACGAATAAATTTACGTTGCATTATGAAATTATCTTTATGAAATGGCAGTGGCTAGCCGCACGGGGCCGTATTGCTAGCCAAAAGTTCTAGCCATACCTTAGTCACGTACGACTAGCCTATACACACTGTTGAGGCTAGCCGTACGGCATTTTGAGAAAAAAAAATGCAAACTTTCCTTTCCTTGAGTATCATGAAAACTTTAACCAATTAACGTAAATATATTATTTTTGGCGTTTGATGATCGGAAGTTTTTCTCTAAAAATCACAGATTTTGATAAAGTCCGTGCGAAAGTACAGGGGAAATAAACTGAAACAATTATTAAATCATGTCTATAGACGTAATACAGTTGTAATAAATTTTTATCTTTATCAATTTTAGGGACATAGAAAATTTCTGTTCATGATACAGCGCAGTTCAGTGCGTATAGGCTAGACGTGCGCGACCTGCTTAACTTTTGGCTAGCAGTTCGGGTCCGTACGGCTAGCCACTTTCTTTATGAGATATATATTTTTACATAAGTGTTTTGTTTTTTCTTTGGATGAAAAGTATATAAATAAAAAATTAGTATTTTTTCCCAAAATATATATTTTCAATCCATGGTTCCAGAATTGAGCACAATAGACCTGGCGAGGTAACTGTGAGGAAAACTCCGATGGTGACGAAAGATCGTTCAAACTCTTACGATATTCGGACACTACGTTCACTGGCAGAACAAATGCCACCTGTACTACAGCCAGGCGGTCTCTCATTTGAAAGACAGATGTACTATACAGATCTGTACGTCCATACGTTGCGACAAGTTTCGCAAGATGAAACGTGCCCGTTACCTACAAGAGAAGAGTAACTCTTCGCTGGAAATACAATAAAATTAATCTATGTACTGAAAATCTAAAAGTTGATAATATAGTATATATATAGTGGAAAAAAGACTGTGTAATTAAACACATATGGGAACGACGTTGTTAATTATTTGAATATTCAATTTTGCATGCATTGTCTTATTTGAAAATATTTTTCCAGGATTATTATGTTAAGCAAATAATTTTCCGTTTAGTCAAACTGACGTACTTTTAACAACGTCGTACTTTTAAACGACGTCGTCACTAACGTCAACTTTAAACGCCGTCACCAACAACAGGTGTGTGATAAAAAAGAGTATTATAAAACAAGTTTTCATCGTCCAAAAATAATATAAAAATTTGTTTCAAATGATTCAGAAAAGATTGCTTTTTGAGAATATTTGAAAAAGTGAAAATGTCAAATTTGACCACTATGTTGGAAATGTCATGTCACGGCTCATATGATTTTGAATACAATGATTTTGTTATTGGTTAGTAACAACATAATAAGACTACCTGAATACCTCAGTACTGATGATGGATAATGTGTATGGATATGTTATATTGTAACATTGTAACATTGATTCCGCAATTTTCACCTTTCTACTATTGATGCCATTGCTCTTGAAGGATCTACCTTTTTCCAGATTTAACAATTTGATGGACATTAATCTGCCTTATGTCATTTATCCTCCACTGTTATTTAAATTGATCATGTCCAGTACTGTACTAGTGCAGATCACAAGAAGATTTTTTTTATAGATATATCAATCTAGATGTGATTGATTTGAATACTAGTTCTAAACATAACATGAGAAATAAGATCTACTAACTTTTAAACTATGATATTTCAGTAAGTATCAGCAATACAAAATGTCCAGATACTGTGAGGAGATACTGGGTGATCTACTGCTTAAACAACCTCTACCTGAAAATCCTGTAAGTGCTAGTTTGATTAAATTGACCCTTGCCTGCTTAATTTACATTGAATGAATTTGTCCAGCTTTGAACTTTGAATTGTTTATTCATAGTTGCGGGTTTTCAATACAAAATAAAGCTACCAACAGTGAAGAGCCTTGTCAGTCTGTACAGATGTGCAAGCTCTGCTGGAACCAATGGTGATTATAGCCTTTGTCGACCATATAGAGCCAGGTCGGTCTGTACAGATGTGCAAGCTCTGCTCGAACCAATGGTGATTATAGCCTTTGTCGACCATATAGAGCCAGGTCGGTTCTGTACAGATGTGCAAGCTCTGCTCGAACCAATTGTGATTATAGCCTTTGTCAAACCATATAGAGCCAGGTCGGTCTGTACAGATGTGCAAGCTCTGCTCGAACCAATGGTGATTATAGGCCTTTGTCAACCATATAGAGCCAGGTCGGTCTGTACAGATGTGCAAGCTCTGCTGGAACCAATGGTGATTATAGCCTTTGTCCGACCATATAGAGCCAGGTCGGTCTGTACAGATGTGCAAGCTCTGCTGGAACCAATGGTGATTATAGCCTTTGTCGACAATATAGAGCCTGGTCGGTCTGTACAGATGTGCAAGCTCTGCTCGAACCAATGGTGATTATAGCCTTTGTCGACAATATAGAGCAAGGTCGGTCTGTACAGATGTGCAAGCTCTGCTCGAACCAATGGTGATTATAGCCTTTGTCGACCATATAGAGCCAGGTCAGTCTGTACAGATGTGCAAGCTCTGCTGGAACCAATGGTGATTATAGCCTTTGTCGACCATATAGAGCCAGGTAGGTCTGTACAGATGTGCAAGCTCTGCTCGAACCAATGGTGATTATAGCCTTTGTCGACCATATAGAGCCAGGTCGGTCTGTACAGATGTGCAAGCTCTGCTCGAACCAATGGTGATTATAGCCTTTGTCGACAATATAGAGCCAGGGCAGTCTGTACAGATGTGCAAGCTCTGCTCGAACCAATGGTGATTATAGCCTTTGTCGACCATATAGAGCAAGGTCGGTCTGTACAGATGTGCAAGCTCTGCTCGAACCAATGGTGATTATAGCCTTTGTCGACCATATAGAGCCAGGTCAGTCTGTAGAGGTGTGCAAGCTCTGCTCGAACCAATGGTGATTATAGCCTATGTCGACCTTATATAGAGCCAGGTCGGTCTGTACAGATGTGCAAGCTCTGCTCGAACCAATGGGTGATTATAGCCTTTGTCGACCATATAGAGCCAGGTCGGTCTGTACAGATGTGCAAGCTCTGCTCGAACCAATGGTGATTTATGCCTTTGTCGACCAATATAGAGCCAGGGCAGTCTGTACAGATGTGCAAGCTCTGCTGGAACCAATGGTGATTATAGCCTTTGTCGACCATATAGAGCCAGGTCGGTCTGTACAGATGTGCAAGCTCTGCTGGAACCAATAGTGATTATAGCCTTTGACGACCATATAGAGCCAGGTCGGTCTGTACAGAAAGCTCTGCTCGAACCAATGGTGATTATAGCCTTTGTCGACCTTATAGAGCCAGGTCGGTCTGTACAGATGTGCAAGCTCTGCTTGAACCAATGGTGATTATAGCCTTTGTCGACAATATAGAGCGAGGGCAGTCTGTACAGATGTGCAAGCTCTGCTGGAACCAATGGTGATTATAGCCTTTGTCGACCTTATAGAGCCAGGTCGGTCTGTACAGATGTGCAAGTTTCTGCTCGAACCAATAGTGATTATAGCCTTTGTCGACAATAATAAGCCAGGTTGGTCTGTACAGATGTGCCAGCTCTGCTCGAACCAATGGTGATTATAGCCTTTGTCGACAATATAGAGCCTGGTCAGTCTGTACAGATGTGCAAGCTCTGCTGGAACCAATAGTGATTATAAGCCTTTGTCGACCATATAGAGCCAGGTCGGTCTGTACAGATGTGCAAGCTCTGCTCGAACCAATGGTGATTATAGCCTTTGTCGACCTTATAGAGCCAGGTAGGTCTGTACAGATGTGCAAGCTCTGCTCGAACCAATGGTGATTATAGCCTTTGTCGACCATATAGAGCCAGGTTGGTCTGTACAGATGTGCAAGCTCTGCTGGAACCAATGGTGATTATAGCCTTTGTCGACCATATAGAGCCTTGTCGGCCTGTACATCTGTACAGATGTCTACATATCAAGGCTTAAACTGTTGGCAGACTGACTTCAAATTTTCATCCTATTATTCCAAAAATTTATATAGTTCCCAGAACATGGCACCTTTACCTACTTTACCTAATACTGTCGAGGTAGTATTTTGTATCATAACTTTTATTTAAAAATTTATAATTGTTTATGGAGCCAGCTTATGCAAGTGAGTATACCATGGATAAATTTTTATACGCCCGTTTGAAAAACGGGACGTATTATGGGAACGCCCCTGGTGGGCGGGCGGGCTGGCGGGCGGTGTCCAATTTTGTCCGGAGCATATCTCCTACATGTATGGAGGGATTTTAATGAAACTTCATAGAAATGTTCACCACTATGAGTAGCAGTGTCGCGCACATGAACCAGGTCTCTAGGTCAAAGGTCAAGGTCACACTTAGAGCTCATTGAAAAATGCTTGTCCGCAGCAAAACTTCCACATGTATAGAGGGATTTCAATATTACTTGGCACAAATGTTCACCATTGTGAGGCGGAGTGTCGCGCGCAAGATTCAGGTCCTTGCAGCCAAGGTCAAGGTCACACATAGAGGTCAAAGTTCAGATGAAAATATGAAGATGTGTATATGGACCATTTAGTCATCATTTATTGAGGGATTGTAACACAAATGGTCATTTTCAAGACTATGGCTGTGATACATATAATTTAGGTCAATATATACAAGGTCAAGGTCACTAAAGATGATGAAATATCCAGATTTTGTCCGGAGCATATCTCCTACACACATGGAGGGATTTTAATGAAATTTCATAGAAATGTTCACCATTATGAGAAGCCATGTCACGCACATGAACTAGGTCTCTAGGTCAAAGGTCAAGGTCACACTTAGAGCTCATTGAAAAACGCTTGTCCGGAGCAAAACTTCCACATGCATAGAGGGATTTCAATATAACTTGGCACAAATGTTCACCATTGTGAGGCGGAGTGTCGCGCACAAAATTCAGGTCCCTGCAGCCAAGGTCAAGGTCACACATAGAGGTCAAAGTTTAGATAAAAATATGAAGATGTGTATAGGGACAATTTAATCATCATTTATTGAGGGATTGTAACACAAATGGTCATTATCATGACTACGGCTGTGACACATGTACCTTAGGTCAATATATGCAAGGTCAAGGTCACTAAAGATGGTGAAATATCCAGATTTTGTCTGGAGCATATCTCCTACATGTATGGAAGAATTTTTATAATACTTTATGGAAATGTTCACCACCATGATATGTATTGCTCCATGCATGATCCAGGTCTCCAGGTCAAAGGTCAAGGTCACACTTAGAGCTCATTGAAAAACGCTTGTCCGGAGCAAAACTTCTACATTCATAGGGGGATTTCAATATAACTTGGCACAAATGTTCACCATTGTGAGGCTGAGTGTCGCACGCAAAATTCAGATCCCTGGGACCAAAGTCAAGGTTACACATAGAGGTCAAAGTTCAGATAAAAATTTGAAGATGTGTATAGGGACCATTTAGTCATCATTTATTGATGGATTGTAGCACAAATGGTAACTATCATGACTACAGGTGTGATACATTTAATTTAGGTTAATATTTGCAAGGTCAATGTCACTGGAGATGATTGAATATCCAGATGTTGTCAGGAGCATATTTTCTACATGCATGGAGGAATTTTAATGTTACTTTATAGAATTGTTCACCACCATGAGACGTAGTGCCCTGCACATGAACCAAGTCTCTAGGTCAAAGGTGAAGGTCACAGTTAGAGCTCATAGAAAAACGCTTGTCTGGAGCAAAACTTCTACATGCATAGAGGGATTTCAATATAATTTGGCACAAATGTTCATCATTGTGAGGCTGAGTGCCGTGCATAAAATTCAGGTCCCTGCGACCAAGGTCAAGGTCACACATCCTGTGCATATCTTCCCTACTGATTTGTTTTAAGGTTCATTTAACAACACAGTGCCAAGAATAAAAACTTGCTTGCTAGATAACACTTATCCATAATGCCCCCATCTCCATCTAAAGCTTTCGTAAACGGGCGTATTTTGTGACTATGGCACCCTTGTTCATAGTTAAATGTTAAATTTTGTTTCAATAAATTTTCTTTTTTTTTTTTTTCATTAAGGTTGTAGTTTTATATATGTTAATTTTATATTACACAATGTAGATGTTTATTCAATGTTGGTCATTATTTCAGCTTGAGCCTAGCATGCCATTACCATCACCAAACCAAATGAAGCGAAAAATCTTAATCAAGAACAAAAGATTAAAACCAGAGGTGGAAAAACGTAAGACCAGAATTATTTTACCAAATTTATTCACTTTTGCATCTGATTGTGCATGAAGTTAATCATTTGCAAAGGAAATTCATGGATTTAAAGGATAAAATCAGACACTGTAATACATGATTTTAAATACACCTGACTCTGGATGCAAATTAACAATAGCTGACTGCAATGACCGCCCAGATAAATACATGATCAAAACATGACTGTCAAATAACATCAAATTATGATACAGGCCTCTATTAAAAAAAAACAGGAAAACATACGGTTGGACTTTAAATGTGCCCTCATGCTGCTGATAATGTACAAAAAGGTGCATCAACACTTAATGTTCCAATAGAGATCATTATTACAGCCAATCGTATCATATTAGTGTGTATTTATTTCCTAAGTTCATAAAACCCATATCAAATGCATATTGTACCCCATATAGGCTTATTTTCTTTTTCAGAGTCCAAAAAATCCATATCAAATGCATATACTACATCTAGCCTCATTTTCATTTTCAGAGGACAAAAAATCCATATCAAATGCATGTTGTACTACAACTAGCCTCATTTTTATTTTCAGAGTACAAAAAAGTCAAATCAGAACCTACTTGTACTTGAAAAAACAAAGTTCTGTCTTCATTTAAAAAATGTTGGAGTGAAAAAAGAAGTCCTTATACATTCCACATAGCAACAAAACCTATATCAGACTTGACATCCAATATAGAGATATGTTATAATTGTACTGAACACAGTATTATAACATCATACTATTTACCAGGTTATATATATGTAAAAGTTTGTTTGTATCCTTGGTTTAGATAGAGAAAAGCCCAGTATGCAGAGTTCAAGAGTATTTATTGCTCAAAGTGAGGAAGTATGTAAGCTGACTATTTGCTGTATTTCAGGACAAATGGAGTTATTTTTGAAAGGTCAAGATGCAATCAATGATGACCTTCCTGGTGAAGATCCAGAAGTGGTTGCTGAGGCAATAGATGGCGAGGCCGGGCCACTTAATGGTTGGTATTTTCACTTGTGTTTGATGATAAACATTGATGCACATTTTTTTTATATAATATATATATATAATATTTATTGTAGAAACTTGTTTTCATTATTATGTTAATTCTATTTTTTTTTCTCAGATACTCTCCAATTTTCTAGTAGTTTTGGAAATCTTTAAGTGAGGTAGTCAAATTTGTAGATTCTTCTATATCAATAATATTTCAGCTTTTTTTCTGTTTTCCAACTTTTAGTATTTTATCTTTAAAAGAGGATTTGCACACACACACAAACAAGAAAGCATGTTTTTATTGATGCATAAATGTAACTGTTTTTTTTAAACCTTTTGAAATCTTAATACCTATTGAATTGGAAATAGGCTTTTTTGACTCATTATTTTAGAGTCGGTCTATGTTTGCTTGTCCACTGTTTACTGTTTAAAACATCTGTTTGATATATTCTGTGAGGTTATGCATATGGTCATGTTTAAATTAGTCTTGAATGAGACTGCATTTTGTAAGTTTTGTGGTCTTGAGACGTGAAGTGTTTTACATATGCTTGAACTGTTGTGGGGCCGTACAGCTGCTATCTCAGAGTTATTAGTTTACCAGTGCACAACTTGCTCAAGGTGAGCTATTGTCATCACTCATTATTCAGCGTCTGCCCATCCTTTAATTCTTTTTTGAAACCTAAAGGTCAATAATCAAGCGAACCCTAAAAATCATCTCCTTTGAAAACATAAAGGCTAAACCTTAGATATTTGAAATGAAAAACTTTGTAGTAAGCTTTATCAAATTATAATCCTAGTGTCAAAATTGGCCCTACCCTGGGGGATCATGGGTTTTTATTTATTTAGTAAAATCTTAAAAAGTCATATCCTATAAAATTATGAAGGCTAGAGCTCAAATATTTGGCATGAAACTGTGTAGTGGACTACTTTCAAAACTGGCCATTTATCGGGGGTCATGAGTTTGAAGTAAAAGCTGTAAAATCATCTTCTTTGGAACCTTAACAACTAAAGTTAAGGTATTGAACATAAAGCTTTGTCTAGTGAATACTAACAAGTTTGTTCAAATTACAGCCATTGGGTCAAAATTAGTCCTTTACATTGGGATTATGTTTTTTTTTCTAATATTTACAAAGTTTAATCTTAAAAAATAATGGCCTCCGTCTTTCAGTCCATCTGTCTGTCCATAACACTTCCATGTCAGCTCCATAACTTTTAATCTGCTGAAGAATGTTTTTTAAGTAACTTGGCACAAGTGATCACCATTATGAGACGATATGCAGAGCACAATAATTGGGTTGCTACCCCCAAGGTCAAGGTTGCACTTAAAGGTCAAGTGTTAAAAGTGTACATGTTGTGTCTGCTTCATAACTTTTAAACTGCTGAATTTTTTTTAAAAATAACTTGACACAAGTGATCATCAATATGAGATGATGTGCAGAGTACAATAATTGGGTTGCTATATCCAAGGTCAAGGTCACACTTAAAGGGCAAGTTTTAAAAAGTCTATATTTTATGTCCAGTCCATAACATTTAAAAGGCTGCAATGTTTTTAAAATGACTGCAGAAATCATCACCATTTTGACACAATGTGCAGAACCCAGCATCCAGGTTGCTACCCCCAAGATCAAGGTTAAATGTTGTCCATAACTTTTTGACTTTATGGAAGATTTTAAGTAACTTGGCACAAATAATTACTATCAAGGTCATGGTTTGTTAAAGGTCAAGAAGTACACATTCATGTCCCCTGCGGAAGGGGATTTAGCTGTACTTCAGACTGCTTTGTTAATATTAATGTGAAACTGGATTCTTGTAGGTCTAATGTCTATTTAATAATTTGTTGAATTCACAGAAAAATATTGAAGGGCTAAAGTGTCATAAATCACAGTAAATTTGAAAATTTAAAGGGTAGATTCCTGTCTCTTATCAATTTTACTTACGGTAGATTTAAAAAAAAAATTTCTACTCGTCAAAAAAACAACCAAAAAGTCAGAAAAAAAAAACAACATGTAAACATACTTTTTCTCTTATCATAAATAAACTTATCCTTTTTGAATATTTGAATAAAGCCTTTCAAATTATGATACAGTTTTTTAAATAGGTTGTTTAAAAATACAAAACTAATTATAGCCCAGGGGTAAAAATTGGCCCGCCCCCGGGGGTCATTGATTTTCACTATGTACATATAGTAAAAAAAAATTAAATCTTTTTGTCTTAAGGTACAAGGCTTAGAGTTTTGATTTTTGGTATAAAATATCATTTATGGGTCCTCTACCAAAGTTGTTTAAATTATGCCCCTAGTGTCAAATTGGTCCTGCATTGATAAACAAAAACTAAAACAAATGTTTTCTAAATTAGAGAAAGATACATCTTAGATATTTGATATGAAACGTTGTTTGGTGGACCTGTATCAAGATTGTTTGAATTAAACACTTGGGTCAAAATTTTGCCTTGCCTAAGGGGACAGTGACCTATCTTCTTGTCATTTGATGTACAGCCATGAAATTTAGACCATGTGCACAGTTTTAGGTGTAAAATTGAACTTTGATATCAAGTGACCTAGATTTTGATGATGTGACCTACTTTCTTGTCCTTTGATGTACAGCTTTGAAATTTGAATCATGTGCACAGATTAAGATGTAAAGTGAACATTGATATCAGCTGACCTAGATTTTGACAAAAGTGTCTTACTGTGTTGTCCTTTGATGTACAGTCATGAAATTTAGGCTGTGTGAAATATGACCTTCACCACCAAATTCACTAGACTCAACTGCATTGATAGATTCCTACTCTGATCTTTTATTTTGTGATCGCTTTTCGTCCGGCGTCCGTCCGTCGTCCGTCCGGCGTCTGTCCGTAAACTTTTACTTTAAATGACATCTCCTCATAAACCACTAAGCCAATTTATCCAAACTTCACAGGAATGTTCCTTTGGTGGTCACCTTTAAAAATTGTTCAAAGAATTTAATTCCATGCAGAACTCTGGTTGCCATGGCAACCGAAAGAAAAAACTTTAAATATCTTCTTTTAAAAAACCCTAAGAGCTAGAGCTTAGATATTTGGCATGAAACATCTTCAAGTGAGTGTCTACCAAAGTTGTTCAAATAAAATCCCTGGGGTCAAAATTGGCCCCGCCCCAGGGGGTCATTGATTTTCCCTATATGCATATAGTAAAAACTTAAAAAATCTTCTTTTAAAGAACCCAAAGAGCTAGAGCTAAGATATTCAGCATGAAACATCTTCTAATGAGTGTCTACCAAGTTTGTTCAAATAAAAGCCCTGGGGTCAAAATTGGCCCCGCCCCAGGGGGTCATTGATTTTCCCTATATGCATATAGTAAAAACTTAAAAAATCTTCTTTTAAATAACTCAAAGAGCTAGAGCTAAGATATTCAGCATGAAACATGTTCTAATGGGTGTCTACCAAGTTTGTTCAAATAAAAGCCCTGGGGTCAAAATTGGCCCCGCCCTGGGGGGTCATTGATTTCCTTATATGTGTATAGCAAAAACTTAAATAATCTTCTTTGAAAAAACCCAAATAGCTAGAGTTAAGATATTAAGCATGAAACATCTTCTAGTAAGTGTCTACAAAGTTTGTTCAGATAAAAGCCCTGGGGTCAAAACTGCCCCCCCCCCAGGGGTGTCATTGTTTTTAACTATATGTGTGTAGTAAAAACTTAAAAATCTTCTTTTAAAAAACCCAATGAGCTAGAGCTTAGTTGTTTAGCATGAAATTACCTTCTTATGGATGTCTACCAAGTTTGTTCAAATAAAAGCCCTTGGGTGAAAATTGGTCCTGCCGGGGGGGGGGGTGAGATCATTGTTTTTCATTACATGTGTGTAGTAAAAACTTAACATTGTGAAACATCTTCTAATGAGTGTCTTCCAAGTTTGTTCAAATAAAAGCCCTGGGGTTTAAACTGGCCCCACTCTGGGGGCCTATATACAGGTGAGCGACCTCAGGGCCATCTTGGCCCTCTTGTTTGAATAACAATAGATTTCACCACTAATCTGATATAAATAAGAATTAGATAGGTCAAGGATATATGCATTATGGCAATCGTCAATTGTATAGAAACAAAGAAAATCTGTTCCAACACTACTATTTAGTGTTGTATTAATGCAGTGGCATAGCATTTTTCACAAATGCAATCTTGTTTTTATAAAGATAATAGTGAAGAGATGATTTTATTATAAAATTGTTATAATTATTGTTACACAGATGAAACTTTAAATATAGGTCAAGTTAAAATTTGCTTCAGACTACTTATATTTCAAAAAGTTAAGGAGAATGGTGGGGGTATGAATCACCATAGTGATAGCTCTAGTTGAACGAAAAATCATCATAATGTCACTTTAAGATATTGTAAATGTAACATTGTCTTGTAGGCCACAATTAAAGTTAAATAAATTATGGCATTTGGGTAAAAAAAATTGCCCAGCCCAAGGAAATTTTTATCCAGTATTCCATTTACTGTGGTGAGCAATGTAGGCCACTTTTGCTTCTTGTAAAGATATTTTTTAAGACAGTAATCATTTATCCCTGTTATCAAAGGGGTGTAGGAATTTCAAGGGGCAGGACGTGAAGTGGTAGCACACTTGGGGTTAAAGCGAGAAACTTGACAACCTTTTCTCGCTTGATTCAAGTGTGCAAGCACTTCACGTCCTGCCCTTTGATTTCTTTGACTGATTTAGAAATAAAGTCTACAATAGTCAACAGTATTAATTTATGTCTTGTAAAATTAGCCAAGTAACAACTTTGGGAGAGTGTTTTTTTTTGAAAAGCAAATGGCTGAAAGACTGGTGCAAAGAAATGTCTTGGTAAATAAATTAAATATCGTGTAACAATTGAATTCTGTTAAAGGATAAACACAAACAATAAATAAACTGATAACCTCACTGACATGTTGCACTGATAACAACCCTCCATTTGAATAAGACTTATTTATCTATATCAACTTGATAGAAATTTAAAAGAAAAGATGTTTTATGCTGATGCCTCTATGAAAGGTTGTTCTGTTATAGTAATATGCTACTCAAATTTTGCTAAGCAACAAATGTTTTAGTGAGAATATTTTCTCATATGATTTGACAAATAATTTATTATTTCAATTTTATGTTTAATAAATTTGATTAAAGGATAAATGTAGATTTTTTTACTGATTTTGTGAAAGTTCAGTGTTAGAGAAGAGGAAGACCCCTCCCTACTTGTTTACCATATTTATGACACTCAGTAGCATGTGTGTGACCCCTTGCTAAAGACAATTGTTCGCCAACGCCTTCTTATGTTCCCTGTAAGGTTTCTGACAATCCTGGTGAGGATAGCAGCCCATTCTTGCACTATCATGCTCCTGGGTTGCACCTTGTAACCTGATATTCATTCCTCATGGCTCAATTGGAGTAAGTCAATACCCTTCCTCTTCAGGTAGTCCTGGACCAACCTGGCCCTATGGGCACATGCATTATCATCTATTAAATTGAAATGACAGCCAACTTCCCAGGAATACAGGCTAACCCTAGTGTCTTAAGATTTTAGCAGTGTACTGCTGATCAGTGGATATACCTCTGTATAACGAAACAAGGTCAGTCTGTCCGTCCCAGTTGATGCTCACAAACATTATAACTGACTAAGCACATAGCCACATTGCACAGCAATATTTCTGAAAACCAATTCTTCAGCAGACTCTTGCAGACCGGCTGTAAAGTCTAGGCAAAACCTGAACTAATACGAGTGAAGAGAACATGTCTCCAGTTTTGTCTGGTCCACCTTATATGCCACACTGGCCACATAGTGACATTGAGTTAATGGAATACTTATACAGGGTCATCTCAATAGTGTTTATCATGTCAAAGTGACTGATGTAAAAATTCTGACCTTTGAATAACCATATTTTTAATACTGTTGTGTAAATAAGGTGTCTGCTCCAATAGAATAACGAGGTGTATCATATGCTTTCCATGACCATGTGGCAAGACCTTACCCATAAAACATCCTGCATTTAGGTTGGGGACCATCTCAAAACATTGCTTAAACAAAATATGCAAAATAATAATTGAATCCTTGTGATATATTTCATAATATAGGGAGTTACTTTTTAATGCTTAGCAAAAGTTAAGTTGTATTATCAGTAGCAGTGCTATTCAAGGCTCAGTAAAATTGACTTTTTTTTAGCTCACCTGTCACAAAGTGACAGGGTGAGCTTTTGTGATCGCTTTTCGTCCGGCGTCCGTCCGTCGTCCGTCCGGCGTCCGTCCGTAAACTTTTACTTTAAATGACATCTCCTCATAAACCACTAAGCCAATTTCATCCAAACTTCACAGGAATGTTCCTTTGGTGGTCACCTTTAAAAATTGTTCAAAGAATTTGATTCCATGCAGAACTCTGGTTGCCATGGCAACCGAAAGAAAAAACTTTAATATCTTCTTTTAAAAAACCCTAACAGCTAGAGCTTAGATATTTGGCATGAAACATCTTCTAGTGAGTGTCTACCAAGTTTGTTCAAATAAAAGCCCTGGGGTCAAAATTGGCCCCGCCCCGGGGGGTCATTGATTTTCCCTATATGCATATAGTAAAAACTTAAAAAATCTTCTTTTAAAGAACCCAAAGAGCTAGAGCTAAGATATTTAGCATGAAACATGTTCTAATGGGTGTCTACCAAGTTTGTTCAAATAAAAGCCCTGGGGTCAAAATTGGCCCCGCCCCGGGGGTCATTGATTTTCCCTATATGCATATAGTAAAAACTAAAAAAATCTTCTTTTAAAGAACTAAAAGAGCTATGGCTAAGATATTTAGCAATCAAACATGTTCTATTAGGTGTCTACCAAGTTTGTTCAAATAAAAGCCCTGGGGTCAAAATTGGCCCCGCCCCAGGGGGTCATTGATTTTCCCTATATGCATATAGTAAAAACTTAAAAAATCTTCTATTAAAGAACCAAAAGAGTTAGAGCTAAGATATTTAGCATGAAACATGTTCTAATAAGTGTCTACCAAGTTTGTTCAAATAAAAGCCCTGGGGTCAAAATTGGCCCCGCCCCGGGGGGTCATTGATTTTCCCTATATGCATATAGTAAAAACTTAAAAAATCTTCTTTTAAAGAACTCAAATAGCTATGGCTAAGATATTTAGCATGAAACATGTTCTAATAGGTGTCTACCAAGTTTGTTCAAATAAAAAACCTGGGGTCAAAATTGGCACCGCCCGGGGGTCATTGATTTTCCTTATATGTGTATAGCAAAAACTTAAAAAATCTTCTTCGAAAAAACCCAAATAGCTAGAGTTAAGATATTAAGCATGAAACATCTTCTAGTAAGTGTCTACAAAGTTTGTTCAAATAAAAGCCCTGGGGTCAAAACTGGCCTGGTCCCAGGGGTGTCATTGTTTTTAACTATATGTGTATAGTAAAAACTTAAAAAAAATCTTTTTTTAAAAAGCCCAATGAGCTAGAGCTTAGATGTTTAGCATGAAACATCTTCTTATGGGTGTCTACCAAGTTTGTGCAAATAAAAGCCCTTGGGTTAAATTGGCCCTGCAACATTGGGGGGGGGGGGGGGGTTGGGGGGGCCTATATACAGGTGAGCGACCTCAGGGCCATCATGGCCCTCTTGTCTCTGTTCAACATCCTTAAATTTGCATTCTTCTTAAAGGAGACTTGTTGATATGGGTCATTAAAGTGTTATTTGCATTTGGAATCATTTTTCCTCCATTGCAAATGATAATGGGAAAGAACTCATGTTATGCATGTTAAGCGAGATAACTTCAGTATGTTGCTAAAGTGATAGTTTGACTTCATCATCTTGATCATATGTGATATATATAAAGGATGTAAAGTTTGTTTTTTGACAAAAGGGAGACACTTCTTGTTGAACATGTCAATGAAGTGATTGTGATGCTAGGAAATCATGTGACATCGTCATTGTTGTTTATAAAAGGGAGCTAATGTCTACTTTTTGACAAAAAGGAGACAACTCTTGTTATGTTTGCTCTTTCTCCAGATGATAGCAGTAGTTCAAGTTCGGATTCCCCGATTACCACCCCGATAACGGAACTCCCGCCAGTTTTACCAGAGCGAGACAGGGGTACTGAAATCATGTTGTATATATCGAATGTAGCATTTAATACTTACTGCTATAAATGTATCTATAGAAAAGTACTCACTTTGTATTTTGTATTCTATTTTACTTTTGGTTACATTTTCTTCTTTATTTCTCGAGTTTGAAATGTGATAGAATTTGCCAGAAATATTGACAATAGTGAAGACTGGACTAATTGTAAGTGTGAATAGATAAGATTAATTTTGGGTACACAGTTCAGTCTGTGTTGAAGGTTACCTCCATTATACAGCCAATATGTAATCATGATGAGCTATTTATAAACATTGAGTTAAATCTCCTCAATTTAGCAAATAAAAGATGGGTTTTTTATATTAAGGAAAAAAGTAAATAAGTTGAATGCTGAATTTCTTCAATGGACTTGTCCAATTTAAAATGTTTGGAACACACCATGATATATTTTGGGGGTGTCAAGATGAAAATTTTAAGTTAAACAGTATAGAGCCTTGTCAGACTGCACAGATATGTAGACTGGTTCGGCTATATACTGGTTGCAAAGGTTTATTCCATATGGTCTCAGCAGGACATAGCTGCTATACTGAAATTTGTAAGAGACCAGAATAAAGCTCTGCCAGTCTGTACATTAGTGCAATCTGATGACTCGAAGTACTAATTATTTCTGTATGGAAATTTCTCTAACTTAGAAACATGTATATAGACAATAGGGCAAGGTTAATAAGCAAAGTGAAGGTTTACTTTTTGTTTATCATGACCCTAGTGAAATCTGTAGATTATATTGTTACTTTGAACATCATTTTTATTATGGCTTTTCTATTGAATGCAAGTTCTGGCAAGTTTTATAATTGCTCCTGTTGTAACGTTGTATCTTTAGTTGTTATCCATAGTAGGGTAGTAATGTACTACCATGTTTATTTTGACAGGTATGGTTTATATGTTATCATGTGCTAGGGTAGTTGGTATGATATTGTATTATTGTATTGTATGTAAAATATCATTTATAAATAGAAATATGTTCTTTTTTCCAGGTAATAATGCTGAAACTTAGCTCACAGGTGGCAGTATCAGTGTTTGGACACCCCACCCCTATCTTCCCCTGGACCCCTACTACAACCCTGAAAAAAAAATTCAACACTCTACGGGTTACTATAAGGTACCAAATACAAAAACACCGATAAAATTATATATATATCAAAAAAATTTTCACTATCAAAATTATAGTTATAGAAAGGTGAAAAGCCTACTATATGTTCATTTGCCAAACAATGTGGAACATGGGAAATCTTTGTTTTGGCGACTGAGGCGCATTCCGGCAGGATTTTGCTGCATCATTCATTAACATCAATAAAAAGAAGTAGAAGCTACGACAATTCAAAAAATACGGTGAAACAGAAAAAATCGGAATTATATTGATATTCGTTGGAGTTGAATTAGATAAGCTGTTTAATTCTAGTTCTTTTTATTGATGTTAATGAATGATGCAGCGAAATCCCGCCGAAATGCGCCTCAGTCGCCGAAACGACACTTTCCTGTGTTCCACAATGTTTGGTAAATGAACATATAGTAGGCTTTTCACCATTCTATAACTATAATTTTGATAGTGTAAAATTATTTTTTTATAATTTTATCGGTGGTTTTGTATTTGGTACCTTATAGAAAGCCTTAGAGTGTTGCATTTTTTTTTTCAGGGTTGTAGTAGGGGTCCAGGGGCATATAGGAGTGGGGTGTCCAAACACCGATACTGCCACCTGTGACTTAGCTCGGGGATAGTTAGTGGGTGGTTCCAGTCCTTCTGTCACACTTTCCATCCATTGACTAATCATGGGGGGAATCCATGTCCACATTTCTAGTTATCACTTATGATTGAGCACACAGTGCTCATGTGTGTCTGTTCATGTGAACCTCAGGTTTGATGTTTGTCTGTCCACAATTTGTTCATCCTGCATTATTGCAACTTCATTTTTCATCTGATTTAAACCAAACATGCACATGATCCCTTCATTGTGGTCCAATAAATAGTCAAAACAAGGATATAATGTATTTTGCCTTGGCTTTGGTGATAGCATTTTAATTTCTGATTTGATTTGAACCAGGTTTCTACAGAACTCATGTTTTCCATTCAGAAGGTTGATTACATTATGCATTTCAGAGTTGCCACTCAAATTAAGGTCAAAATAGATGCTAGATTGGAAGTTTGAGATCAAGATGATGGATATTTGACATGCATAATTAACTGTTTGTTCAAATTATCATCTAGAGGCTACCAGGGGCTACTTGTTTCTATTTAAATTATTAAAAGCTCTAAATCTTTATGTCAGAAACAATGGTTTCAGTGGAAGTCAGTAAACTCTATCATTAATTTTAAACCAACTTGGTAAGATAATAAAAATACCACTTTCAGAATAATAAGAGGATATTTTTTCGTTTGCGTGAAATATGGTATATTTTCATGAAACATGATAAAATGCCACATATTTTCACGAGCCGGTACAGCGAGTGAAAATATGTGGCATTTTATCATGTTGAGTGAAAATATATACTATATTTCACAAAAAACAAAAAAATAACCTTTTTAACCAGGTTTTCCGAAGGAAAAAAATGGTTATTAGATTGAGGTATGTCGGCAGGCGGGCGGGCGGGCGTAAACAATTTCTTCTGTGCGCAACTCCTCCTACATTTTTCAATGGATTTTGACCAAACTTTCACAGAGGCTTTGTCATCAAGTGCCCTGGCGCATATTGTTGGAGTTTTGTGATTGGATAATATTTGACCTAATTATGGCCCTTTGTTTTTTTTCCCAATATAGGATATATAGTGAACAATTTTCTGTGCGCAACTCCTCCTACATTTCTCAACGGAATTTGACCAAACTTTCACAGAGGCTTTGTCATCAAATGCCTTAGGGCATATTGACAGGGTTTTGTGATTGTATAATATTTGACCTAATTATGGCCCTTTGTTTTTTTTTCCTTATACAGATTATATATTGAACAATTTTTACCATGCGCAACTTCTCCTACATTTCTCAACAGATTTTGACCAAACTTTCACAGAGGCTTTGTCATCAAGTGCCCTGGCGCACATTATCGGGGTTTTGTGATTGGATAATATTTGACCTAATTATGACCCTTTGTTATTTTACCTTATACAGAATATATAGTGAAAAAAATTTTCTGTGCTGAACTCCTACATTTCTCAACGGATTTTGTTCAAACTTTCACAGTAGCTTTGTCATCCAGTGCCCTGGCGCATATTGTCGGGGTTTTGTGATTGAATAATTTTTTATTTAATTATGGCCCTTTGTTTTTTTTCCTTTTACAGAATATAATTATAGTGAACACTTCCTCTGTGGCAATTCCTCCTACATTATTCATGTTTTACATTGCACATAGTTACATTGTTTGTTGCTTGTATTTGTATTTCAAATACAACATATTTATCTTTATTTAATTTCATTATCAAAGAAAATGGTAACGAATCCCCTTGCTTGCTACCAACTGCAATTGTACAGAGCGCAGTAATTTATGCTTAAGCACGCGCTGTTTGGCGCTACATTGTGACGTCATGTAAACAACTCTTTAAACGTCTGTACAGTGTTGATTACTGAATAAAGATATTGGTGTTCGTATTAATTTTCTTTGTTAGACCATTTTCTATCATGCTAGATAGTTTTCTAAACAAAATTCAAAAAAAAGTTGTTTTGTATTTATCAGATTTTTCAAACAAAATGGCGAAAGAAGTCCCTTAAAATAAATGAGTTTTGACTCCGCCCACTTTCATATTTATATTTCATATTTATTTTTAAAAATATGAAATATATTTGACTGATATAGAACCATATTTCATGGGTAAAATTAAATAATGCTTGACACTCAACCTTGAACATCATCTCATGACCTGCATTGGACTTTTAAACTAAGACCAGTACATATACATGCCATAATTTCTAGACTGCTTTCCGAGACACATTTTGAACAGCAAGCAAATTGTTTCTTAGATTTACAAAGTGGCATATGACTCAGATTACAAATGTTCACAGCTTGCAAATATTGTAATAATAACTTAAAGTAAGCAAAATGTCAGAAATATCTGCAGTTTAAAACAAGCAAAATGTCAGAAATATCTGCAGTTTAAAACGAGCAAAATGTCAGAAATATCTGCAGTTTAAAACGAGCAAAATGTCAGAAATATCTGCAGTTTAAAACGAGCAAAATGTCAGAAATATCTGCAGTTTAAAACAAGCAAAATGTCAGAAATATCTGCAGTTTAAAACAAGCAAAATGTCAGAAATATCTGCAGTTTATCCATCTTACTTGAGGAGAACAAGTTCTAAAACCTTAGAACATGTATAATGTTACAGATATCATTACATTAAAGGTATTCTTAAAGCCTAAAAAAATATATAATTTGAAATTCCGACATAGCTCAACTGAGACACATAAAGTTGGAAAAACATAACAAAGTTGATTAGGGCAATAATAGAAATAATAATATCAAAATATATGATAATAACGATAAATATAATACATGTGTATATTCAGAACAGAATTAAAACTTTTGTACCTGACTGTAGTTACATTGTACAAGAATTTAATTAAACGTGATTAAGTGGAGTAAACTAAAATAGAAGGCTTGAGAAACATTTGGAAAAAACATAGTTGGTAATATAAGGAAATATTGAGGAGACAATATTTAATTAATGACTTCTGTAAACTATTAGTTACTTTCATTTTTTTCATCATAAACACTAATATAGGCATTCCATTAATTTGTGTTTACATTATAATTTGATTATTTATTCTTCCTGCTAAGCCATGCATTTAGACAAATGTGTGGGAGTGAATGTGTCTGTTTCACTGTAATTTTGTCAAGGAAAATAACACTGTTATAATTTGATATGAATTATAGATTAAACTCTACAGATTGTCTAGACAAATTAGGTTAAGGTCATAAAATTGTTTTGCAACAACACTAATTCTACCTATGCAACCAATACATATCAACTGGCA